CGAATATAATATAATATTATATAATATTTCGAACGTATATTAATTTATTATAAATTTAAATTATTTAAAATTATAATAAAAACATTTATTATATATTATAATATTTTATAAAATTTATTTATTATATAAGTTTAAAAATAAATTTTTTAATTACGATTTAAATTTTTTTATAAATTAAATATTTAAATTACTTTTATAAGTTTATTTAACGAAAATAATTAATATAACGATTAAAATTTATTTATATAAGTATATAATTTAATAATTATTTTAATATTAATTTAAATGTTAACGAAATTCGTGTAAAATAAAAATTATTAAATAATAAGAAAATAAATTATTAAATTAATTTTAAAAAAAACTTTATTAAGTTTATTTTAAAATTAACCCCGTAAATTAGTATAATATAATTAAATATATTAAGATTAATAAAAATAAACATTTTATGGTAAATAATTATACCGGTAAAGCGATCGTATTATTAACGGCCGTAAAGTTATAAATATTACGATAAAGAAATTTCGAAATAATATTAACGTAAATTTTATTTAATTTTTATAAATTTATTAATAGTTATAAAAAATGGTATAATTTATATAATTAATACGAAATTTTTTATAAATAAAAAAATATATTTATCGAAATATATTTTATATAAAAAATAAAAAATTAAAATAAATTAAAATAATTTCGTAAATATATCGTAACTAAATTAAAATAATATTTTATAAATTTTAATTTAATATTTTGATAAATTTAAATTACCGCGGGTAAGTAGCGAAAAAAGAAAATAATTTATTATTTTTATTTAATTTTTCGAATTCGTTTAATAATATTAATATCGTTTTAAATTAATTTAATAAAAATTTAATATTAATGTAATAATTTAATAAATTATTAAAATTAATTAATAATATTAATATTAAAAATAATAATAAAGTCGTTATATATATTAATAAAAAATTAAATAAGCTTTTTAAGTAATGGATAAAATTTAACGGATTATTTAGCTTCGGTTAATTATAATAATAAGTTATTTTAACTTTAAATTAAAATTAAAAATAATTTAAATTTATAACTTTATTTAAGTTTAAATTACCGGAATATCCACGTTATATTAACGAAAATATTTAAGGAAATAATTATAAATTCGAATTATAATTATTTTCGTAAAATATTAGTTTTAATTCATTTTCGTTAAGTTTTTAATAATTCGTAAAAAATAATATTAAAGAAATAATAAATTTAATATATTTTAAAATTAAACCACGTTCGAATTTACGTAAAAAAAACCATTTAAAAATTTTTATAATTAATAATAATATATTTAATATTTAACTTACGGAAAAAAAGTAATAAATAAAAAAATTACGTTAAAAAGTGGCCGAAAAGTAAAAACGAAAAATAAAAACTTATAAATTAAAAAATAAAAAATAAATGTTATTTAAAGAATTAATAAACGAAAAATAATAAATCGAATTTAATATAATTTTAATATAATTTAAATATAATTTTAATTAATTATTATAACTTTTTCGTATTTTTTTTACGATTTTTACGTAATTTTCGCGTATTATTTAACGCGTTAAAAAGTTTTTATATTTATAACGTTCATGGTATATTATTTTTTATATAAATTTACTTATTTTTTATTAATTAAAAATGAATTTCTTTTTATTTTTTTATTTTTATATATATAAATTTATTTACCCGTTTTTATATATTTTTTTATTATTTTTTAAAATAAATAAAATAATTTTATTTTATATATAAAAAATATTAATTTTATAATTTATTTATACGGGAAATTCGAGAAATTTCGGCTTAAAGTAATATTAATTTAATAATTAATTTAAGTATAATTTAAGGATAATTTAAGTATAATTTAAGTATAATTTAAGTGTAATTTAAATATAATTTAAATATAATTTAAGTGTAATTTAAATGTAATTTAAATATAATTTAAAAATTATTTTTCATTTTTTTTAAATATTTTAAAACTTAAATATTATATATATTTAAGTTAAAATAATTACTTTTATTTTTATTATTACGGCTTTTTATAATAATTTAAACATTAATAAGTTTATTATTTTATATTTAAATAAAATTAAAATTTAAATTATATTAAAATATTAATTTTTATTTAAATAACATTTTATATATTATTTTATTTTTTATTATTAATAAAGTTTAATTTTATGTTATAAGTACGTTTTAATTTTAATATAATAATTATAATTTATATTAATTTTATATAAGTTTTTTTATAAAAATTAATTTAAAGTTTCGTTTTTTTAATATATTTTATCGTAATTAATTAAGAACCGATTTTTAATTAAATTTAAATAACATTAATTTTAATTATTAAGTTATAATAAGTATTTTTTATTTATTTTTTTAAAATATAAAATGTTAATATTAATTTAAAAATTATATTATATTATTCGTAATTAACGATTTAAATAATATTATATATATATATAATTTTATTTATAAATTAAAATTTAAATTAATTATTTTATTTAATTATTTTATTATTATTAGTTTTAATTTCGTATATAATTAAATATTTTAAAATATTAATACGGTTTATTTTAATAAATTATTTTATAAAATTTTTTATGTTAATTTAACTTAATTTTAATAATATTTATATATCGTATATAATAATTAAAATAAATATATTATAAAACGATTTTAATATTAAGTTAAAAATGTATTTTTTTAATTATTTTATATTAAAATTATAAGTTAATTAACCGTATAAAAATGGTTATAATTAATACGTAAATATTTCGAAATATTTTAAGCTTTTTTTTTTAAAAATATATTAATATTTTTAAAATTATATATCGATTCGTTATAAACGGAAAATAACGGTAACTTCGATTTTATTAAAAATTTAAATATAATTATTTTAAAATAAACTTAAATTAAATTAATTATAAATTAATAACCCGTTATTTTTTTTTTTACCCGATTTATTTAAAAATATAAATTTATAACGTAAATATTTCGATAATTATATTAAAATTAATTTATAATTAATTTCCGTAATTAATATAATAATAAATTTCGTAATTATTTCGATTAATTTTTTTTATAATTTATATATTACGTTTTAATTTATTATATATTATAATTTTTAAATAAATCGTTTTTTTATTATAAATAACGTTTTATTTTTTTTATTTTTTTTTTTTTTTTATTTAATATGTTAATTTTATTAAATAATTAATAAATATAAGTTATTTAAATGTAATAAATTTTATAATTTTAATTAATATAATTTAAAAATAATTTAATAATATTATATTTTTACATTAAATTAAATTTAAACCGGTTTTAAATTATTTTAATAATAAATTTTTTAAAATTACTTTTTAATAATTAAAAATATTTAATTTACCGTAATAAAATAAAAGGTTTTCATAAACGATATTAATTTAAATTTAATTTAAAATTTTTTTATTTATTAATTTTTTTTTAATTTTAATTTTATTATTATTATTAAATACCGAAAATAATATATTAATTTTAATTTATATTATAATATATTTAAATTAAATTGGAAATTTTTTTTTTTTTTTTAATTAATATTAAATAAAATTACTCATTTATTAAAATTAATTAAATGTTAATTATTAAGATTTATTATTAATAAATTAAATAAAAAGTTAAGAAAAGGTAAATTAAAAGAAAATTTTAAATAAAATAAATTAAAAAATAATTTATTAAAATATAAGTTTTAAATTTTTTTTCTTTTTTTAAACGTTAAATAATAAAGTATTTTTTTATAAAAAAATATTTATTTTTTTATTAATAATTTTTAACCGAAAAATATACATTTTTAACCTTAATTAAATTTTTTAATTATAAACTTAAAAGTTTTATATTTTTATAAAAAAAATTAAACATAAATAAAAATTTATTTTTAAATTTAATTATTATTAATTAAAAAGTTAATATATTATAAATTAATATTATTATTTTAATATAAATATTATTAAGTTATTTTTAATTAAATATTTTTATTAACGTTTTAAATAAAAATTTTAAAAAGAAAATAAAAATAAAAAAAAACGGGTTCGTAAAAATAATAAATTTTTATTTTAAAATTAATTCGAAATTATACGAAAATTAAATATTTTATAATTATAACGTTTATTATTTTTTTTAATAATTATAATAAACTTATTTTTATATTATTAAAATATAAATATAAAATTTAAATATTTATTTTTATTTAATTTTAAAATAATTATAAAAAATTAACGTTTTTAATAAATATAAATTTAACTATTAAAAAATAAATATTTTTTAATATTTTTAAAATTAAATTAAGTATAATTTACGTTTAATTTTAAATAAATAACGAAAAATAATTAAACGGTTTTAAAATTAAATTTAATATAATTTATATTTAATTTTAAATAAATTTTAAAATTTAATTAAAAACTAAATTAAATATAATTTATATTTAATTTTAAATATATTTTATAATTAATTTTATAAATTACGGGGATTTTAGTTTATAAATTAAAAGGTGGTTTTAAAATTAATAACGAAAATGGTTTAAGCTTAATTACGAGGTGGTTCGACTTAATAGCTTTTCTAAGCGGACGAAGTACATTAAGTAGTATTATTATTAGATAGCAGATTCCAAATTTTAAATGGGTTGTTGCGGGGTTCCGTTTAAGTCCAAGTTTTGTACTAGGCAATAAAGAGAAGCTTCTATCGATACGTGTTTAACCGTTACATACTAAAGGTGTCTAAAGTGCAAATGTAAATAACCGTATGTTATGTACACCTAGATACCTAGATACGTAATCAGATAAATGACGCGATAAAAATTTTACGCCATTTTTACGCCACATACATAGGCCAACTTAGGCTGCTAGGGCCACACCGTCACACGTGAGGGAAATATTCCAGCCACTGATTATTATTGATTGTCATAGTCTTTTCGATTTTGCCCACCGTTTGAAACCGGAAAGCCCAGAAATTTCCCCCAACATTCACACATTTTCGCATTTTCTACCGTAACTGACCACAACACCCGTGGACCCCGGAAGACAGCTACTCGACCGATAAGCACATTTCGCATCTGATTGACGTCTCCGTTTAACTTGCGATAACAGCTTTTCCGTCTGATCGGATTCAGCTCGTTCTTTCGATATTTATATATCGTCTATCGTCTGTTGTCTTGTCGTCTCTTATCAATCTAGACGACGACAACGACGCGACAACGACAAGGACAGCGATAATCGCCATCATGTCGGACGACGACGTCGAAGTCACCGGTACGCGTGGTTCGCGTCGCAATGCCGACAGACGGACCCCGCGATTCAGCTGGAACCTCGCATATGAGGAGACCTTCTTTAGGTCGCTATGTGAATCCATGTCGATGGGTTATAAAGAGAACCACAGCTTCAAGTCAGGCGCCTGGGAACGAGCAGCTATTACTTTACGCGACAAGCATGGCGCTTATCCCGAGAAAAGTCACTTGATTAACAAAGCCGACAATGCGCGTAAGAAGTTCCGGATGTGGAGAGGTCTACGAGAAGACCCTGAATTTCTCTACAACCCCACCACCAGAATGGTCACCGCGAGCGAGGAAGCTTGGCAACGTCATTTTAATGTAAGTAAATATCCTCTAAGAAATAAAACAAAATAAAATATAGTCTAGTTAAGGACAATATTTCTAACAATGATCCCCTCCTTAAACAGAGAGAGCCACTCTCTAAGGCCCTCAGGGGTCGCCCTTTCGACCATGAAGAATTCATGGAGATTCTGTTTCCCGATGTCGTGGGATCTGGTGGTGCGCCTAAGCGAATCATGAAGCCGAGACGAAGGAACCCCGATGGTACATTATCTGCCAGACCAAGCACCGCATCTGCAGCTGCGGATCAGTCAGTCATCCATCCCTCTCTCGATGGGAGCATATACGCTCAGACCCCTACGCACAACCCGATACAGCAGACACAGCCATTAAGTCAACCGATACCGACGCCTTCTATGTCGCAGCCTATGCAACGACCCTCATCGACCACCATTCCACCCCGATCATCTCTTAATTCAAACCCGAGTGCACTCACCCCGCCGGATGAGCAAGTACCAAACACCCAGGCGCAAAAGCGCCCCAACCCTAACCCCAGCCCGATGTATCCCGAGAAGCGTCGGGGTAGGCCCTCGCGCTTCTCAACCAACTTCTACACCCAGCAATCCACGACACCATCATCATCTTCCGCCGCCCAGCACGCTGCCACCCCGGCAGCGCCGCAAGGTTCCCAACCTGTCTTTGCCCCTAACCCCGGATTTATAGAAGACAGCATACTGTCCCTTGCCGAAGCTCTCAAAGCTCGGTCTCCCCCCAAATGGTCGGAGCAGGCAGTAGAGATCTTTTTTGCCGAGTTCGCCGATGAGGATGCCGATCTCCAGCTCAAGATCGCGGAGAAAGCCCTCACGGACGAAAACAAAGCTATGGTCTTCGTTAAGATGACGCCGATTCTTCGGCGACATTGGGTCGGTCGGTTGAGAGAAGTTCACATGCGTAATCTTGGTGGAGGACTTGGTCTAGGAGGACGAGTTGGCGAGGAGGCTTCTTGAAGGTTGTTTCCAATTGCCTTACCGAAAGTGGTGTTGAGATGAACGTGGTTAGGTGACGGAGTTTGGTGAATGGGCGTTTTAGGCGGATAGCAAGTTATGGTAGGCTTATCGGTTGGTGTTTCATGAAAAGCTCTAGGGAGGCTTGGCTTCAAGGTCGGATATTGCTGGTGAGATCAATCACGACATCGAAGTCGAGACGATCGATAACCCCGATTCTCGTTTTGCTGCGGTACCATCATCTTTCGAGCACGTATATACTGTTTTGTTACGCGTAATGATAGTGTTCATAGGCGTACCGGATGCCATTCCAGGAAAAGCTTCAGTTCTCATGAGTCTAGGCTCACATAGATAACTCAATTTCATCGGTATTACATTCTTGTACCATACTTACCGTGGTACTAGCTAGCAGGATGATCCAATGCTGCTACGCCACGAAGACTCTGTGATAGGTTGCCATACTTCTGCAGTCTGTTGATAAACGTTTGTCATGGCGAACCGGTTCGTTAAACTCTACTGAATTCAGAGATATGATTGCCCGGCCCCGTACTGTGCTCACGCAGATACTACATAGGACAGAAACGTGCTTCAGGATGATTACCTACCTACCTACATACGCTGTCAAATTCCTAGCCGTAGACAATTCTCCACCGTCTATGAGACTTCGTCTACCTAGGTACTGGTTGTCTGTTATGGCACAAAGGATTCCGAGACTAATCCAAGAACCACATGGAAATAGCATGCAATATCTCCCCTGCCATATTCCCTATCATGATATCATGAACCTTGGGATATACTATGCATGTTTGTGGATGGTAGAAAGTTTGTCTTACTCCCCAAACACCCTGCATACCTAATTTATTAATAACCATACCTACCTAGGTTTATGTTGTCCTCCCATTTATAAATAGGACGGTTGACCATCCTGATATCTTGATACTACCTGCTGAAGTGTATGAAAGACCCCCAGTCGACCGGATCTATCATTACCAATTTTATCATGGCTCTAACTCCGTATATGAAAGTCTTTCCTATAACCAGGCGCTTCCTTAATCCTAGAAATCCCTTTTCTCAGATGCTTCACTTCTTATCTCACACCCTCAAGATAGATTTTACACGCCTTTCCTTCATACTAACACTATTCGGTCTTATCTCTGCTGTCTTCACGCCAGCCAGCAGATCCATCTTCCAGGCATACGAATGGATCCAGAAGTTTTTCATGGTCTCCGTATGCGTGCCAGCACCGGACGAACTCTACGAACAAGTCTTGACTTGGGTGTCTGCCCATGTACTGAAACAACGGGCCAACAGATCTCTCTTTGCTCAGACGACAATCCACCGGGGGAACGAGATGAGTCCCAAGGATTATGCTAAATTTAGGGGCAGGAGAAAAGTCGAGATCGAGTACCTGCCTTCCTTCAAATCAATCTGGTTCTTATACGAGCGGCGCCCCTTTATAATCAAGCTGTCGCGCAACGCGACAATCGGGGTTAAGCTTAGAACCGGTCGTCGGAGGGTGAGAGGAAGAGATGAAAAAGACAACAGCAAGGTTAACTTAACTGTTTCCTCGATTGGTCGCTCCCAGGAACCAATCAGGAGGTTCCTCAAGGAATGCCGCGGCTTTTCGGAGAATCAACAGCAATCGACCGTTGCCATACATGCATTTACGATGTTCAGTTATATGGAATATGGTTGGGAGGTCAAGGCTCACAGGGCAACACGACATCTAGATTCCGTCCACCTAGACGAGGATGTAAAATCGGACCTAGTGGCGGATATAGAACAATATCTTAACCCTAGAACCCGGCAGTATTACACTTCGCTCAACATCCCTTACCGTAGAGGGTATCTCCTCTACGGTCCTCCGGGGACCGGTAAGACATCGCTATCCGTAGCATTGGCAGGGGAATTTGGCCTCGATCTATTCATACTAGATTTGTCAGCGGTTCCGAACGACGAAGTTCTAGATCAATTGTTCCAGGAATTACCGTCACCCTGTCTGGTACTTCTAGAGGATATTGACGTCGTGGGGCTAAAGGACAGGAATGACGACGAAGAGGAAAAGAAAGCGAAGAAACGGTTTTATATGAAGTGCACTCTTGCCGGACTCCTAAATGCACTCGACGGTGTTGCCTCGAGCGAGGGGCGTATCTTGCTAATGACTACCAACCAGCCGGAACGACTTGACGAGGCCTTGTTAAGACCTGGACGCGTCGACCGGAAGATCTATTTCGGTCACGTCAATCAGCACGGCGCAGAACAGATGTTCCGCCGCATGTACGAAGCCGATCTACTGGAAGACCCTATCGAAAGAGACAGTAGCATCGAAACACTTTCCAGCATCCAAGATGGCTTATTTACAAGTGATATTGAAGACGAAGACTTGGCGTCACTGGCTGCAAGATTCTCGAAAGAGATACCGAGAGAAACATTCACGCCAGCTCAGCTCCAAGAATATCTTCTCCAACACCAGAGAGCCCCCATGCGAGCCGTAACCCTAGTCGCGGGTTTTGTTGCGGAAGAGAAGCGCAAGATAGAGGAAAAGGAAGCTAAATTCAGGGAGGCTAATGGTAAAGGGGCTAAAATACGATGAAGCGGCACTCAAAGGGCCATTGAAATCTAGTGAAGCAACTAGTAGTAGGTAATATCTAAACGGGCCATGGACGTGAACGTACTGGGTATCAATATATTTCCGTGATGTTATAAATGCATGTTACATGCGAGCTCCGAGGATCATAGGACTGTAGAGTATGAATTCATCAAAGACATCCAGGCAGACTCTAACCTGACTTCAACCCCCCAACCAATCTCCTCACACTCCTCCTCGTCCTCTGCAACCTCGTCTCCCCCCTCCCCTTCTCCCCACCTCCCATAAACTCGCTCCCATCTCCACGCGAACCAATCCCCACATCTTTCCGCAACCGCATAGCCGGCAACGCCGTATACCTCTCCAACCGCCGAAACGGCACACCCCTCGCATCATCTTCCAGATACTGGAACTGCCGCACCCACTCCGGATACCTATACGTCGGCGTCACAAGCGGCAGCTGCACGACCAGCCGTCTAGCGAGTAACCCGCGTACGGCGCTAAGGGCCCAGCGTTCACGAACGGATGGCCACGAGGGGAGGTCGCGCCACGTGGGGCCGATTGCGACTTTGATTATGGAGTCGGTGTCGTCGTTTCTGCGGTTGATGTAGTCGGTGGTGGTATCCGTAGCGGAGACGGCGAGACGGAGGGTTACGTCGCGGAGGGCGGCGAAGCGGACTAGGTTGGAGAGATGGGTGCATAGGTCGGCCCAGGGGCCAGGGGGGTCGGTGGGGTGGGTTTGTTGATGGTGCTGGTGGAGGGTTTCGATGGGGAGGGCTAAGGAGAAGGAGAGGGAATGGAGTTGTGAGGATACGGTTTTAGGGGAGAGGGTTGAGAAGGCGTGGGCGGCTGGTAGGGAGGTGAATATTGGGGTTATCATGGCGTAGAGGCTGGGGCGAGATTCGAGATATCTAGGAGGTATAATGTGAGTTTATTGATTTTGGGGTTCATTCGAAGGGGTGTGAGAGAAATGTATGTGTGTGAGGATAATGAGAGGGATTCTCACGTTCTCTTGCAGGCTAGTAGGATGGGCAAGAAAAGAGTGCGATTGGGGCGTGGTAGATGATCAAGACCAGTCCTCTCGTTAGTCATCATCTCCATCTCTTCCTCGCACCGCCAATGATTGTGCCATGGAGATGAAAACCTTCTAGTCCATTTGTCATCTAATTTTAGAGAACGTGTACGTGACCTCCGTTGGGTTTCCTGGGCTTCGAGCATCCGCTGAAGCTCGTCGGGTCTTTCATCCACCTCGTCGGATGATAACGCGCATGGCCAGTGTGTTAGACGCCCAGCACGGATGAAGATATGCTGATTAAGTCCGGATACTTTCCAGCACTCGACATATATCATGTCTCGAATTTCCAAAGGCAGTCCCCCGAAGAGTATTGAGCCCGACTGAGGGTTAGCCGTCTCCCGCATGCGAGCCGTGTCAGGGGGTGTGACGATTTTTGTGAGCGACATTTTGCCTACTAAGTAGTTCTAGTTTGTCTCTTCTGGCATAATTTTGATAGGTACTAGATAGCCACTCATTGTATTAATATAAGATATTGTCTGTTGGATGATATATTCTGGTTTTTATATGAATCGCAGCCTTATTCTTCATCGGCAGCTGAACTCATTAACACGGTCCGAGCACCGGCTCCGCGAGCTTTTCTGCGCTTGTAATTGTACCGACACAGAGGTGACTATTGTGTATGGGCATTATCATTGGTCAATAGTCGCCAACATCTAGTCGATGTCGTATATGAATAGGGGATGATGGGTGGCACTTTTCGCTTGAGGAAGAATTGTGATACTGCGGGTTGGCGGCTAGGTAACGACTTCATTGGCTGGAGGCCCTAGAAGTTGAGGAATTACGCAGTATGCAGTATGCAGCCTGCCTTATGGACTTTATTCAGCATAGTCTACCTACTACCTAGGTGCGTTCCTTCGCCGAACTAACCGCATAGGCACCTCTAGGTAGAGGTAGGTATGGATATCGCCAATGTAACGCCGGATCATGAATCGGAATGTGTAATATCCACATAAAAAAGCAGGTTATGTCATTTCTGCAAACGGCTTGCATAATGGCGTATTCCGATGCGGCACTCTGCCGTGTCATATATTGACCGGCGAGATTGAAAGGAGGCTTTGGCTTGCCGTGTAACTACACTTAAGCAACGTCAGTCGTCCGATGCGACTGTGGCTGATGCAGCGTATTGTTTATACGTACGAAAAGAGTAAGGTGGGAGAAATAAGGGGGGGCCAGGAGGGTGTTGCCTATGAGAACTAATGACTCGAGTAATATGACCAGATGGACGCACATCAACTGCAAAACAAATTCATAAAAATGTATTCCGATCCATCCAGATCCATCCAGACGACCCTATCCGAAATGAGTCATTCGGATTCATTCGATATTAATTGTAGACATGTGATGTTAGTAATACCTACCTATTCTTTGTTTAAGTACCCTGCGGGATCTAACTCCCGACTCCTGGCTCCCGGCTCGTACACCGAAGAACCAATCAACACGCGTTTTCACTGCCTATAGCCTATCATTTTCAAAAGAAGTCCAATAAGTACGGATTAGGGACATTCCTCGCATCTCTGCTCAGAGCAATGAAGCAGTGAGTCTGCTGGCCTTTCGTGTGCATGTCCCACGTGAAGCGCTCCACCTCACCAGGAGCGAACTGCCAATATCGCAAAGGAGGGCGGCGTACAACTGTGAATGGTGCTTCTTCTTGCGCATCGAGATTTTCCATATTTGGAATATGTGCCTTGATGGGCAGCGATGGTGGCAACTCGAGAGTAAAACTTCTCAATACCTTGAGGTCCTTGAGTTGCTCCGTGACGCGCTGTTCCGGGATCTTGCGCCAAGCACCGCGATCGTAAATATCGAGAGAGATGCGCAAAGTATGCAAACATGAGATACGTCCTAGGGCCTTCCAGAGCTCTCTAACTCGGCTCTTGGATGCGCCGACGATGAATGGTGCGTATTCATGGAAAGGAAGATTAAGCGATAAGTCCAGATGGCGTATATGTGGTATGTATGGTGATGGGTTATAGACGAAGAACCTATGTGCCGAGAAAAAGTCGTTGAATAGAAATTGGTGCGATTCAAATATTGACTCGACGACTTCAGGAAACCTATGCGCTCGGCTGGTTAGTCTGATATTAATATTTACGGAAGCTCATCGCGAGTGGCGATGCACGATGGTGGGTACGATGGGCCTTCGGTGAAAACATACATGCGTTTGCAAACCAGCATCATAGACACGAAGTTGGTGCGGTCCACTGACTTTCGTCTCTCGTACTGCATTCTTTCTTCGCATCTCCAATGTCGGCTTCCCCAGGTCGACGACAACCTCCTCTGCCACATGAGTAGGTCACCTTTGCCCGAAGTATGGATTGAGTCCACTATAAATAATTATATTAACTAACATCCTTTTTATCGATAGATTTCAAGATGTGTGCGAGTAACTGGGAAGGGTAGGACATCATCAATACGTATAAGAATGAAAGCAACATACTGTTCCTCTGGAGCAGATCCAGGTCTTCGTCATCCTCATACATGACACATCTTGTATTGGTCCAATGGCCATCTTGGAAGTGGATATGACGACTACGACCAGCATGGTATTTGTGGTCGTAGGGGCCAGCCCAGACGAGATTATATATCATCCTTCTAATCTCAATGGGAAGATTGTGGAAGAACGGGCTGGCGAGTTGCATATCGAACCCGACGCCATCTGCATCAGAAACGGCAACGGTAATACCATCATCAGTGGCGCCATCATGGGCCCTTGGTGTCAACTCATTCTTGAGTTTCTTGTGTTCATATTCCGAAGATGTGTTGCTTGATCTTCTTCTCTTAGCTAAACCAGGTCGAAAAAAGGACCTAACTCTAGACTTGACATTACCAACAGCCATTTTAGCTTAGATGAGATCGGGTTGAGGAGAGATAGAGGAGAGACACAAGAGAATGGGGAATAGAAAGACAGGGAGGGGACGGTTCAACTTTACCTACTTACACCACCGGACTTGGAAGAGTCTAAATACTTTCTGGTGTATCGTAACACGTAGGTCCACAGACAGACAAACACATCCAATTCGTACCTACGAAGGGACTTGTTCCCATCCCCGGTCATGTTGAGCCATGCATATGGCATGTATGTGCAGTATGTGCAGCATGTACAGTATGCGCAGTATGTGTAGTATGTGTAGTATCTGTGTGGTATGTGTGTGCTACCACGCGGACAGGAATGACACGTCCCACGACATGATAGCCGATGATAACGGCGAGTAGGAATGGCTAGAACCACCAGTCAGAAACGTAAACCGATCCATCGTGACGAAAGATGTTCGCGGATACGTTTGTGTGTACTTTATACATCCGTAGATATATACTTAAGTAGGTACATATATGTATGTACGTAGGGGTGATGAACATTAAAGTACCTGTCGGTATAAATTATATAGAAGTTGTACCACATACGCAGTGCCAGTCAGGTGGTACCCAATCAGGAGGATTCGAATACCCTGTTTTCAGTAGCAATAGCCAATTATAGCCCAAAGTTATTCTAGGACAATTTAACCTTGAACCTTAACTTTCCTAAGCTTGCCTGGCAGCTCCTGGGTAGGTACGCATGGGTACTCAAATACATGCTCATTTCACCGGGTTGTGCATATGTAGAATATGTAGCACGTTGTAGCGTGTTTATGGTTATAACGTATGTGTAACTTGAACTGAAAAGTATACCTTGTATGGATCTGATCTGGTAGTCGAAGCCAATGAATCTCTCCAACGGTTTCGAATTTCTCCAATCCAAACTCTTCTTCCATTTCTTACTTCTAACACATTCAGCACATTTCGTACTTGTGACCCGTGATCATGTTTTTTTCAAGTTATATTAATCAATCATCCGCAGTTTGATCACAGGAAGAGGATATATCGCCCGACCGATGCGAAGTGCGTACTTTTGTGTACCTATAGAATCCTAGAGGATGTCTGGGTCTGGCTCCATGATACTTGCTTTTTCAGATGACCAGTTGACGGATTCAAACCTCTCAAACCTCTCAAACCTTTCAACCCACTCAGACCATTTCTTGGAAAATGGAGGGTACGATATGTTGTCATGTCAACTTGTGATGGGACATCCGGAACTTTGAAACGCCAGAGAAGTGTCACTGACCGATAGGAACACGCAATCATTAGCATGAATCAAAATGTCTCAATGCGCAACCCCACGGTTTTTTCCTCGCCATCTTCATTCCAACTAGGTACCTAACATCTGAGAGCGGGCACGAGCTAAGCCATCGTCACACCATTACCTACTATACATACAATAATATATAACACCTACCTCTAGGCAGCCAAGTATCGGCCTAAGTCGGCCGGAGATTTTATCATTTTCACCGGCTTTTTTATAGGTGCGTAGTTGTCACACTTTTGCTTCTCATCTTCGCATAATATTTCGCTCGACTATCACCGCGAAGGTTACATCGAAGCATCGGGTAATCGCAAAGCAAATATCGGAAGAGATGACACCATCATTCGCCAACGAAGGAACACACTCGAGGTTTAAGGAATACATATCAAGAATTTTGAAAGCCACCATGCTAGCCTTACTTTAATGGTCTTTTGGCGTCTTTTGGTTGAGGGCACATCGTCGAATAGCTCATCCTATAAGCTACCCACCCTTCTTAGTATCTTAGTATCCTAGATACTCCTCTCTTGCATGCTTATGCGATGCAATGCAATCTGCGACCCTCTCGTTGTCGGTTCCGCCCAACCAACGAACATGGGGTTTGGGTGCCCATGCCTACCTAGATAATAGGTACCTACCTATAAACTACCTACCTACCGAATCATATTTTCTAAATCTCATAACTTGTCAGTATCACTTCTAAGCTATCGATCAATTTACCGAATCAATCAATTTGATAAACCTAACTATAAGATATACGCTATTATACGCCATTATACGCTATACATGGCCCATCCAATACGAACCTCTCGTCATAACCTAATCTTGTCAGAAATAGGTGCGCCGTAGCCTTGGGCGTATTGGTGGTGGCATGCCCATCCAGTAAGCATCGTCTTCATGTCTTTATACTACCCTAACTGCCTGCCTGCCTACCTACCTACCTACCTAGGTAGCTAGCTAATACCAACCCAGGTAACCTCGACAAGATGTAGTTCAGATCGGCGGCGAGTAAAAGCTGGATAAGCAGCATTGATCGCCCATCTAACCACTTGCTCGGATACTTGCGGACTCGTTCGTTCGTCCTACTCCGTTCCAATGCCGTGTTTCCTTTATCAATTATTGTTTCTCGGGTCCATTAAAATAGTGATTGTTTCCGGCCGAGTGGCACAAGCGTGGGTTAACCCCCCGGAGTCGTCAGCGCTAATGCGTGAGATCGACTTGGGGAACCATGTAGAAGCCTGTTGGTGGTGTGTTCGACAAAACCAACAAGTTTAGAAGTATTCTGCGGTAGGAATATAGTATATTCTAAGTATACGATGTCAGGATATGTCGGTAGGTTGACCAGTACTACACTCTGAACTATCCAATATCCATTCCTTGATGTTGGACTGGTGTTCTGGTGAATATTCGTCAAATATTCTATGCCTAGGAACCTATCTAGGTAGATATTCGCCTTAACTGCAACATGAAGCAGTATCTCACGAACCTTGAGGACTTTAACCCATACTCCATACTTACCTACCTACTAGGTAGGTAGGTACCCCAGGCGACCCAGGCGACCCAAACGGATCAACGGCTGCATAAACCCACGCCCATGGGTTCACATCTTGCTTCTACCACACGTGGGAACCCCCATGCCCGCTCAAGCCCTACGAACCTTATCTGTTTCCCCGTGGGCAGCGACAGCTCTAACCAAAATAAATTACCGCAAAAGAGGCGTCGTAGGCTCACGAATACAGCGTCACTCACCTCACTACCTACCCAACTACCTAAACTTTTCCGGCTATTTCTAGTAAGCTGAACCGTTAGAAAAGGAAAGCTGGTTTCCCACTAGTTAGGAAGTAAAGGCCAATAGGAACCGTACCATGCGAAGATGGGGGATAAGCTTGACTGCTCGACGTGAGCTTCTCTGACAAGTATATGCACGAAATGCGAGACTGTGCCACCAAGCGCCGCGATTTTCACACCACTTTCGAGAACATCCATGACGAACGCGCTGCTTTTCGTTCGCGGTCTGAACCCGGCGACGCGGCAAAGTTCGGCAGACGTACGGCGACGATGTATGAAGATCTGTGACACTTGCGTTTACCCACCTAGTTGCAATCCATACTGCCTTTCTCTACCCGCCTAACACTAAAGTTCCCATAACTACCTTACCCTAGATACCTATCTTACTACATTGCACCGAGCGTCATCCGGTGTACCACGAGATCTCGCAAGATTATACCAATCGCGACGTCCACCTAGTTTAGGATCTCCCCGGTTGTATTCCCGTTTGAGCTGGACACGTGAACCTCGGGAATTTCTTTTTCTTTTTTTTGAAAAAGTTCCTTTCTATTCAGCCTTCGGATCACAAAGACCCAAATTACCGGAGTGAGTCAATAGGTAGGTAGATATGTACCTAGGGAGGCACTATGTAGGCAGGCTGGGACACATCTTGAAATACGAAATCCCACGACGTAGTAAGAACTGACTAAAATGTAAAAAACTCGGGATATGCCTGCTGTGGTTCTAGCCTTGGGTCGGCATCGAATAACTACCTACTAAGTACCTACCTCTAGGTGAGTTCGTCCCCTCGGACAAAAGCAATGTCTGGCATACCCTCCTTTTCACAACAACGACCTCCCCCGCCACCCTCACCTACTTTCCTACCTAGTTTTTGACATCGTGACGGACCAACTTGGTCGGCGACCAGAATGCTCGAATGACGAAATTACCTATTCGTATTGGGTGCATCCAATATTCAGCGCCACGTCTCCACCCAATAACTCCGGTTGACACTGACACGAGTAAAAAGATCCGTGTGGTGTCGAGATTTCTCACGCACTTGGACAATTGGGTAATACAAGGAAATAATACACATAGCTTAGATGGAAGAAAATGGGAATGTTTTTGTTTTCCCTTTTCTGTCTTCTACCAAATCCCAAAAACCACAACGCCCCTAGATCTTTCGCCCCTCCTCTGCCCCCCTTTTTGGATCTTGGCTTGTCTATGTTTGATAAATCACCATGCAGTCTCTACTCGGAGACGTAATGCCGGATCCGATAAATCTTCATCAATTCATTAATGGGCTACTTAACCGAGTAGCTATACACACATACAGTATCCTCAGCCCATGGCCCTTTATTGCCAGAGCTTGTACCCGACCCGTTCCTATCGCCGAGCTGGTAATACTTGTTCTAGACAATCATGGACCTAATCGATATTAGTTGCTAGTCTATGACATAGGGTACGCGAATGGATTACTCACACCGGGGCCCCAGGCTCCCTGGTTTTCTAGATATCTGCTCATCCCCCTCACCAGCTCCATCTGCTCTTCTAATGTTAAACCTGTAATGGCTAACTCCATGATGGCGCCGACGTTGACCTTGTGCTGCGCGATGAAGGTTTGGTAGTAGATAAAGGCGAAGAATCCCATGATGAATTGACAATCCATTCTGTCGGTCATACCGCCATGTCCTGGAATCGAATCACCAAAGTCCTTGATCTTGAAGGTACGCTTGAGTCCCGAGGCAAAGAAACCACCGAAAGGTGCGATCAACGATGCGAAGGAAGCCAGAACAATAGAGTGGAATTGCATAGGCTCGGTAGTGAAGGAGAAACTGGCTCCCTCGGGAAGGAAGAATAGATAAGGCAAGGTATAGGTGTGGGAAAGAAATACGGGATTAGGATCGCATTCAAGACCGGTGAAGATATTGGCGCCGAGGTCGTTGACGGGACAAATGAAATATTTGGAGCGCATTAAGATGTTAGTCAGAAGAATAGCCCATATAATAGTCATAAACCAAGCACCCACGAAGCCCTCGACAGTCTTCTTGGGGGACAGCTTGATCAGCTGCGTCCGACCAAAGGTGATACCGCATATGTAGGCAAAGATATCGTTCGTAATAACGAGGGCAGCAGGTAGGAAGAACCAGATCATGCCTTCGAAGACGTTATTCATGACAAAATGCGCCTGCACGACGATCAAGTACAGGGCCATATGAGTCCAACCAAAGTTGGCAAACTGAAACTTGAGATGGCCAGCTTTGAGGTTGGCGACGAAGAAGACGAAGCCGATGACGTAGAGGACGAAGCTGATAAATCGGTGGTGTGTGGCAAGCGGGAGCAGAACCTTGTCAACTAACACGATGTGTTTGAAATAATAGATAACAGACTCCCCATACAGAAAGTACATCGTCGTGGCAAGCCAGTACCAGTTCAAACTCTTGGTAGGCCGTAGTTGTCGAGCTCGACTTGGGACGCTAGCGATGGCGATGACCTCTTTGAAGGAGACTATCTGAACGATGGTGATACATGCGATTATGTAAATGTGGCCCGCAAACAAGGCTGAGAAGAATCCTCCGATCATGACGAAGGTCCAAAAGGTTCGGGTGATGAAGTTGGCCTTTTTCTTCTCGTAATCGGACATCGATGGTTGTTCAGACGCTTTCTAGAGAGAATCATATTAGCTCCTACCAAAGAAGAAAGGACAATAATTCGAAAGAATATGCGAATTTACCTCGCTGATGCCGTCTAATTGTGGCGAGCTCTTGATCTTAACAGGAGATCCTGATCCATCTTCGCTTATCTCGCTGAAGCTAGATCTTCTACCATCAGAGGCATGACCATTCCGGCTAGGGAAGCGAACCCCACGACGCGGTTTCGTCATGGTGGTTTACGTGTATTTCGTAGATAGTGCTGGAACTGCAAGATATCAAGGTTGTGGTTTACTTGTTAATGCGACAAGTATTTTGGTGGTTGTGAAGCGAAGGTCGATAGTATTGGTAGTATTGGTAATCGTGTAAACTGCGAAGGGTTTGCGCTAGTCGCGGATCGACGGAGTTATGAAGCTAAGGATGCGGAAGATCCTAAAAGAGTAGTCTCTAGTCTTTGTACAATAGAGCGGTAGAGACTGTAGACTATGGACTGCCGACTGTAGGTAGATTGTAGGTATTATTATCTTGTCAAGTTTGCAGCCTGACCTGCCTGACTGTCGAACAAGTGTAACAAAGGATGAGGCTCAACGAGGCGTTGAGAGCGAGTGAGTGAGCAAGTGGGGATGTCGGAAGGTCGGCGCGTCAGAAAGCTGATGATGATGTATGGTGGATGCCTTAGACACCACGCATTAATCGATCGTATTAATTGATCAAATTCGTAGGTAGTAGGTAATAGTTCTTGTTTGGAACAAGGTACCTGTTAGGAGAAATAATAATTAATTAGAAGACAATATAGAATGAGACAAGATTGTTTTCTCGTCTTTCTTTTCTTTGCTTATGGCGTCGTGTCTTCAGTAGATTCGTGTGATTTGTATGTAATTAGTTGGACTGTCGACAATATCCTACACTTATTTTTTTTCCCTGTCTAAAATTTTCTTAACCTGATTCGGGTCGCACGCACACTTCAATGCTCTAATAGTATTAAAGTTCTAATGGGTACGGTTGATTGCAGTTCCCTTGGCTGGCTGAGCTATTTGCATCCGTCTGCATCCAGCCTAATGCTTGGCTACGTCAAATAGTGGCTTAGACCCGAATTTTGATGGGTGTAATCTGTGGCGTATCATGTATAATTGCATTAAATTCGCTTTCAATCCGATTCGGTCCAATCAATACCCGGCCTTTAAATCTAACCCGTCAACCCGTGTCGTCATTCCCGTCCGTTTGATCCGTCCCCTCTGCCCCTTAATAAACTTACCTAAATTCAATATTCACATGTCATGCATTAAGAAAAAAAAAAAACTTATTGCTTCTCAACGTTTTTAATACCCCTGACCGGACTATCTTAGCAGACGGCTAGCTGCACTCAATTCTCAACTTGATAAACATTAATAAATATTTCGTTGTTCGGGTATTATGTATGTATGTAGGTAGGTATGCTACGAAGTGATCGGTTGGTTTTGGTCGGGTTAACTCTTCCTTAGATATACCCCCTTTGACTCAAGTCACTGAGGTATTGCAGACACCGCTACAGTATCAAACCAAATGTAAGTATGTTGAGGGCCAGTTGGTTATTACTTAGGTAGGTACCTAGGAAGATAAGTATCTATGTAAATAGTAGATTAGGTGTCTTTTATTGCAATGTGGATAGGCCTACATTGACAACCGCGCGTGCCCCTAAGTTGACTGTTTCTAAGTTTGCTGCGATTTCCTGTATAACGGAAATATGTTGAACTCACCCAACCTCCAGATGGGATCACCAGTGCCCGTAATAGACAATTCAAGTTATGCATTATCATGTCATGATCCTCGTGTAAATTTCCGCCGGGCCTGGTATCTAAGGTATCTTCAGATGCTTAACCAGACAAGAAAAATTCACCCCCCAAAGAACCGACCCAACTCCTCACCCTCTTCAGGGGTTACTGCCAATTCCAATAACTCATGTGCCAGTTCCGCCGTTTCCTCTGATACCAAATCCTCCGAAAAATTAAGCCTACCTAGGCTCAGCAAATACTTTTGCGACGCTCCTGTCGGTTTCGCTAGTTTTGAAGGGACGTCCACCAAGTCCGCAGTCAAAGGGTTTGTGATGATTGTATGTAAGAGCAGAACCGAACGTGCCACCAATGTCTGCAACTCTTTTTGTGAATCGTCGTCCTCGGAAGACTCGTACCGCATATCTCCATCGTATAACTCGTCTATGCACGAAGAGAGTAAGGTGACTAAGCGTGGGATGGCGTAGTTATTAATGGCAAGCTGTGCAAGACCAAACGATGATCTAGCAAAAGCGGCTAATGTACGCAGTACCCCGTTTCGAACACTGCGTAGCTTGTACTGATCGATATCCCAAAGTGGCTTCTCGACAAGCTGATGTGAAATGCGCTCGATCAACGCGCCAGCCACCACTTCTACTGTCCGATCAGGACAGATTGGTCCGATGCTTTCGGGGAAGACAGATGTACAGAGCCATCTTAATATTACCAGATAGTCCTCTACCGGATGTTTTTGACTAAGGTGTAAAAGGACAAACTCTACCTGAACCTGGCCCCAAAAATCGATTGCAGGGTCCGTAACACCTCCAACGGGGGGCGAAGCCGCGCAGCCTAAAGCTGTTAGATATAACAGCGAGAGAATCTCCGTAGTCGAGATATTTGCGTTGAAGTTCTTCCAAGTATCCTTTGGCGGGTCACCAGGTCCCTCATGGTAAAATCTAGGAATTGCTACCTCGAAGCAGGAGTCCATAGCGACCGGTAACAGAGAAGGGGCAATGTATGGTGCGACGGCGATAGTATACAACTGGACGGTCAGAGATATCAAGGAAACTAAATCCATTATAGGAGCCAGCTTGTAGAGTTATTAGTCAGCCCCCCTATTTTATTGTACCTACTAGGAAGGTAGGTAGTAATCAACAGAAGGGGTTCTTACGCAATTTTCGTCCAAGCAGCTACGCCAGAGCCGAATAAGCTCCTCGCAAAATTCTATTGGTAGGCGCATGGGATCGTGGGGATCACCAATAACCGCCAGTTTCTGGAAGAGTATCGAAGCAAGACTCTCTGTGGGTCTCGAGGGAAGCGCGAAACCAGCCAGATACTCGAAAGCTAGTGGACGTCCATGAGAGGAACTATGGTTGAGTATCACCTTCATATACTAGTCATTGTTAGTATCTGTACGGAATTGGTAATCAATTATTGGATTCGGATGTTGACATACGTCAAAGGCAGCAACTCTGGGTATGACGTTCACCGGCTGAGGGCTACTGTTATCATTTGCGCTAGTATCATCTAACATCACAACATCCTCCGAATGAGTCTCCAGTGCTGTCACGGGACTATCAATAGTTGGACGTTTCCTCTTTCCTTTAGTCGGCGTTCTCGTCAACCTCGCCGGCGGCTCGACCACAGCGCTAGCTACCGCGCCGGTATTTCTACCACGTTGACCTTTGCTCGGACTAGTCGCAATTTCAACATCCTCAAATCCGTCTGATATCCCCCACGACTTTGCAGCAGCATTCTTCTTGGGTGTCGTAGGAACATCCTTACGCTTAGCTCGATCCAGCTCATCCTTGAGGTCTCTCTTCGTGAACTGGAGCTCTGTAGTAGCAGCCTGTTGAGCAACTTTTGCGGCTTCGAGAGCCCTTTCCTGCTTGGCTACTTGCTCGGCCGCCTGTTTCTTTATTGCTTGGAGTTCGCGATCGTGTTCCTCGCGCGTCTTTTCCAATCGTTTTCGGACGATCCCTATCTCCCCATCTTTGGTGGTGAGTCTCGTTTTTAGATCTAATATCTGGGCTTGCAACGCAGCAATTTCTTGGTTCGATGGACCGGCTGGCCTTTGTGCTTGGGAAGCTTGATATCGCGGAGGGATAGATGGAGATGGTCGGGGTAGTGGAGGCGGAGGGCGAATCTGGCTGTATGATGGGGCCGGAGCACGAGGTATCTGTTGATGCGGTTGACGAGAGCTAGTAGGCGGTGGCATTGGCGGACGAGAAGAAGAAGTAATAGGCTGAGGACGAAAACGGCCAGGAGGAATAGGCGCTGGACCTCCCCATGTCTGTTGCTGTTGCTGTTGCTGTTGCTGTTGCTGAGGAACTACTCTAGATGGCAATTGGGTCGTCTTCTCCGATAGTAGGACGGAATTTCCGTGCAGCTCATCTTGGACGACAGCATCGTCAAGGTCATCGTCTTCGAAATCGTCTACCACTTGATGTTGGGATTGAGTGGATGGGTATTTCTTTTGTGCTTGGGTGAATTGAATGGCACCATTTTCGAGCTCCTGCAATGCATTTGCATTCAAGGTATCGAAGTCGTCGTCGGAGAATTCGTCCATGACGACTCGGGAAGCCAGGAATGGTTATACAAGCCCATCGGCACAAAAAATTGGATATGTACAGCCGATGACGTTTTTATGTTTTGTTTTATTTTGTTTTGTTTTTGTCGAGGGGAAGATCGATAATAGTCGGTACGTACTCTGTATGTATGCATAAACCTTTATCTTATCAGTAAACCATCCTGTCGCTCAGACATTTTGTGTTGTACAGTACAGTGCGACGCGTTGTCAAACGCGTTAAGTGGTAGGGATAGTTGCATACAGTCCTGAACCGGCTTTATACTGTATTCACACCCCACATTGGACTTGATAAGAACAACTTTCCGATATAACCATCAAATTAGTAATAAACCCCTAGAACCTTGAAACCTTGAAGCCACTTACATCATGACTTACCTACCTGTAATCTCCGAATCTAACAAAGTGAACAAAGTGAACAAAGTCTTAATAATTCACACAAGCCAATTGTCATACATACAACCCATACCCATTATACACATTTAACTCGATACCTACCTAGACTATGGAGGTAATAGGCATGGGTTTTCTAGAAGACAGATTGCCCGTTGAGGTAACCAGACAACCAGACTCCGGAGCAACATGCCTCATCAAGTATTCGGTTGAACATCACAGGTCTACAAACATCGAAATAGCGGTATGGATTCTGGAAGTCTGGTGCATCTATAGGTACCTACTTACCTAGCTGCCTAGTAGGTTGCCTCTCTTACCACCGTAGCCCTACGATGATCCCAAGTATGTTCACGGTATCTATATTGCTTGGCAACGGTAAGCAAGCGCTATCGCGGCGGGAAGGATTTTCTAAGCTGAGAACCAATTGGGTAAGAAGCGTGGCTGAATGGTATGGAAGTAGTACGATATTCCTAGAATTCCTACCTACCTACCTAGGTACACATCCATGGATTTATCTGGAGGCCTCTGATTGCTATTGAACTTCAGATATAAGTTATAAGACATTCAAGTCTTAAATGGTTTCTATCTTCTTATACATCTACTTCTTGCATATACTAGTAACTAGAAGGTAATTCATACATCACTGGAAAAGAACACCACTCACATAGGTAGGTATATTACGGTAACAATGAATCCACCAAATCAGCAGTATTACGGTCAATACCCTCCGGCTGGCGGTCCCCCTCCCAGTCAGCCCGGGCAGACTCACCCAGGCTATCAACAACCGCCACAAGGAGCTCCTTACTATCCACCTGGCGGATCACCCGCTCCCGGACAACTTCCGTATCAACAGCCACCACACTCTAATTATACTCCCCAGAGTCAACATCAAACTAGCCAGCATCAGTACCCACCACAGCAATATGCCGGAGGCCCCCCTCAGGCTCCCGGCCATTACCCTCCAGCACAGCCAGGACAGTATCAACCACCACCAGGACAGTATCAGAACCAGCCAGGGCAGTATCAGAATCAGCCGGGACAATATCAAAACCAATCATATCCGCCACAACAACCATCTCAACCGCCTCAAGGACAGTACGGACATCCACCAACGCAGTATGGGCAATATCCTCCGAACGTGTACCCAGCCGGCAACGCCAATCCTCAAGCCCCGGTGTCTTATCCCACCCAACAATACGGTGCTCCTGTAAGTATACCACCTACGTCCTATTTCTAATAATGGTTCGTTAACAGGCAGTCAAGCCAGGGGCACAAATAGCTCCTCAATGGGGACAGCAACAACAACAAATGCAAGGTTATGGATACGGTGTACCGCCAACCCCTACATCACCGGGCTATGACCCAGCCCAGAGGGCATTCTGTGCTCCCGTTAACACGTCAGCCGATGTCGAAGATCTCCGGAAAGCTATGAAGGGTATGGGATGCGATGAGACGGCGTTAATTCGCATACTCACGTCACCCAAATATGATAATCCCTGGGCGATGGCGCAACTTGTTGGTGACTACAACAAGCGCTTCATCCGTGATCTAGCCAAAGATGTCGAAAGTGAGACGCGCGGTGATTTTGAAACCGCCTTACTTGCCTTGATCCGTGGCCCACTAGAAAACGATGTGCGGAATCTAATCCAGGCGCTGGACCGTGCTGGTACCGACGAAGATGCCTTGATGGATGTCCTTTTATGTCGGTCTAACGCAGATATCCGCGCCATTTCTGCGGAGTATAGGAGAATCAAGGGCCATGATCTACTGATAGATATCAAGGACGACGTAGACGACACTCTGTTCCGACTCTATAGTATGGTTCTCGCCGCTACACGGGCTGAAGATGCGGCGCCGGTAAACGCTGCGGACATCGACCACAAAGTAACGGAACTACAGCGCGCGACCGAAGGTGTTATCGGCTCCAATGCTATAGCTGTAGCACAGATCTTCACAAGTTGTAACGCCGCGCAACTCCATGCCCTCACAGAGGCGTACATGCGGAAGTACCACCGCTCGCTCGAGGAGGTCATCGAGAAGGAGTTCCGCGGCGATATGGAAGACGCGCTACTCTACATGCTCGAAAGCGCCCTCGACCGGGCGCGTACAGACGCCAGGAGGCTCGAGAAGCCGCTTTATAGGACCCCGCGCAAGGATCGGCTCTTTATCAATAGGGCCGTGAGTCTGTACTGGGACCGCAACCGCTTAGACGCGGCGAAGGCCGCTTACCAGAGACACTCGCAGTCGAGAGCCTCGCTGCGCGTTGCGATTAAGGCTATGCTGAGTGGGGACTACGAGGACTTGATGGTTGCTTTGATCCGCGAGAAGAGATGATTCAGAGTTGAGAAGGAGATGAGGGATTTATTGGTGCTGGTCTAAGTCAAGCTGTCAAGATGTCAAGCGTTCTTGTTCATTTCTATCATGACTCCCTAAGTGGCTATTTCTTCCCTGTTCGCGTGTTTGTGGTGTCACGCTACACCACTGTTCCAAAAGCCCACCCATAAATCCTAACCCGCTTGAAAACTTTAGATATTCAATCATTTCCTGTATTGTTCCATCTTGTCCCACCTCGCCTGCCATTCGTCTAGTGCCTTCATCGTCTCTTTGGTTTTGTTGGATACTTTGCATAGAGGGTCCTTGGTTATGGCTGCGAAGGCAAGTGTCTCGATGATAGTTGATGGGCTAGCGAGATATTCATCGAGAGGATATTTTCCCCTGTTGGTTCTTGGGTCAGATCAAAATACGTTAATCCAGTTCGTAACATACCTAGTATCCGACTTACGAGGACTTATTCGTCGTCCCTGCTGGGTCTGATCTAATTGGCAATTTGGCATGGCGAAGGAGTGGCTACCTCTAGGAGATCAAGCTGATAGTGACTTTGATTTATACTAGGTAGGTATTCGCATAAAGAAAGGGGATTTTGGTAAGTAGGTAGATATGGATGAGATATGTCTTCATATATAATTTCATATGCCTATAATTACCTCTCCTACCATTTATATATTACATTTTGCTCATGTTGAATGTTCTTAGCATAGTCTACGAGCACTTGAGATTCACTTGCACCAGCACAATTCCGAACCATCTTGTTTTCATCTAAGACCATCACTTCATAGTTGAAGCTATCACCACCACTGTGCTTTTAAATGTGACTGGTTAGTTTGAGGAAGGTCATATGTAGGCTGGCAAGACGCGAACCTATAAAATGCAATAGCACACCTGTGCTTTTTAAATGTACACCACAACACACTTCCCATGTAGTTTCAATTATCCCTCAGTATATATTATTCTGTTGTTTATCTTAATTGAACTGGACATACATCTGACGACACGGCAATCACTAGATTGCGATTTGGATGTCCTTTTTCCTCTCGAGTTATGAAGCTGTAAACCTTCGTTCGATATGTCCAGTACAAGCTTACCTACCTGTAATCTCTGGAATTAGTAATCAATCGAGCACATAGATCATTGGGAATAAGGCTTTTTTTTTGGTAAAAGAAAATCCCAGCCTACCTACCTAGGTAGCAGAAGCCTCCCATACTTAACAATTAATAATACATCAAAGTAGAAACACTAACTTAGTGACTCTAGCACGCGGCAAATACCATGCAACACCTTTCAAAGCCATTTGAGCAACCGTCTAGTGGCGATAATAAGCGCCTCTCTTTTCCGAGTTGTCGAGACGACACTGTTTATAAGACTGGCGAACCGTCTATCGTGGTAGGGCGACGTGATGGTCGTTATCATTACGATTTAAACTGCGTGCCTCGTGGCTACCACTCCTCGCCCTCGTCCGTACTCGTTCTTCCTCTCCTCCTCCTATTCCTCTTTTCTGGAAATTTCCTCTCCCTTCAGTGGTTATGGAACCCCGCTCTCCCCGCTACCTATGGTTCAGCTCTACTTGCGCCATGACCGCTGTAAGCCTCTATATGAACGTGCCACCAATCTAACATTCTAGTCATTAGGCTACATTCTAACATGTCGACATGTATAAACAATAAAGAAGATCACGATTTTAATCCAATTTGGACTTACTCTGAGCGACTCGACCACAATACCGGTGAACCGCTAGATTCGCTGTCAATTCGAAGCGCTGAAAAGGTAGAAACACCTATACCTTTGCAGGAATCTATAAAACCCAACACAACCTCTCCGGAGCCAGCTGAGTTTAGTACTCGCGCAGGGCTCACGGATGTACCGGAATCTCCTCGTTCTTCATCTAGCGTGGATTCTTATAGCATATCTATAATATCTGTAGGGTCTATAGATGAGTCTATTGATGATGACTCCCCATCCGTCTCGGACTCATCCGTGGAATGCATTGGTCATTTAGGTTTTAATGACATAATTTATTCAGAAATCACGGCCCTTGTTCATGACCTGGTCGTAGAATATACGACGACGACCGGGGGGCAATATTTTGGCGGGAATGGGCAGATTACAGCTACATCTTCTGGTAGTCCGTTCACACAACATCAACAACCTGCCTGTTTGCCAAAGAAGAGGGGCCGTGTCCAAAAGAATAACGAGAATTCTGATGACGAAGACCTCCCTCGCCCGCCTCCAAAAAAGGAGAAGCAGAATAAGGGAAAAGACATCGCAAGGCATCTGGCATGTCCATTTGCGAAGAAGGACCCTATGAGGCACCATGCTTGCTTTTCGAAGAGGCTTTCCAGAATTAGAGATGTCAAACAACATCTTGCTAGAAAACATACGCCCGAATTTTATTGTAATCGTTGTTTAGCCATATTCCCAAACCAGAATAACCTTCAGGAACATATAGGAGATCCTGCAGGACTCTTCTGTACGCCGTCTTCGTTGCTAGATGGCATTTCACAATACCAGCGCTCACGACTGTCTTGCAAATCCAACCCAAAACTTTCAGAAGAAGAACAATGGTTTTCGATGTGGGATATCATTTTTCCCGGGTATGAACGACCAAAATCGGCGTACGTCGACTTCGGCTTCTCAGGAGACTTTTGTGCATATAAAGAGTACTCCCACCATCGGGCAGCTGCTGCAGTTGTCGAGGGATTACGGACCAGTAGCCTTGCAGGAATAGCTGCTGTGGACCAAAGCATGTGGGATGAGGTGCACAAAGTCGTTGCTGATAGGTTGGACTTGGTTTTTGAAGAATGGCAGTCGAATCAATCCGTAAATATGATGTCACGTTCAGACGATTCGTCCTCAAGCAGCCACAGACGAAGCATTCAATCCACGCGAATCGATGTTCCAGATACTCCCGAAGGTAGCGGAATTGGCGTGAACGGTCGAAGGATGTCTAACAAGGAGCAGGCACAATTGGACTCAGACGACCTGGATAGAGAGAGGAGGATACGTGAATACATGATGAGAGAGGATCCGTGGAGACCAGCTGATGGAGATGAAACAGTTCATCTGAACCATTCCAATCCTGATGGTGACGACGTCGATATTGGCTACGAAGCCTTCGTCGATCAGCATGATTCCGTGCCGATTTTAAGTTTTGATACGTCGGCCGACTATATTACCGACCTGGATTTCGGAGAGCCAACCATCACGGACCCGACAGTAGGGTGCGATCCTACATAGAAACTGTGCTTCTCACGACACTACGGCGCTGATATTGAACTTTCTTATATTGAAATTTATTAGGCTAGTAGATTAAATATGAAACTTGTATCCGAAAGCAATAAAATTGTTGAAAGGGGTCTTTAAATGAAGGGATTATTTTTGATTTGGGTAGGAAACGTTGACAGGTTTCAATAGAATCAATGGCACCTAAGAATTCGTAAGAGACGATAATATGTGAATCTCATAATGGAGGGGAATTCTCAGGTGGCATGGTGGGGTTACCAGGGTTACCACGTGATTTCGTGTTAAGATGGCCAGTGCGTTTCTAGACCGAACCAAGCCGTGAGGTACCTAGGTAGAAAAAAAAAGGCGCGCCATTTTTTGCATTTAGTTAATAATTAATATTCTCCCTCCCGCCTTCTGCAGTGGCTGCACTCGTCATTTTCATTCAGACAGGGGAGTGGTAGATCTCATTTAATAGTAGTACAGGTAGCATTACCTCCCTACCTAGGTAGTCTATGATGTTTCTGGATGGCTTCAAGGCAGCAAAATTATTGGATTCGAGAATACGTTTTTGTTTTAATTTCTTTTATTTACTTATTGATGTTTACGTCTACAATTGATGAATGCACGGGCATTTCACTTTAAAACAAAACTCTTCATGCCGCATATGATTTCGAAGGTTTATTTAATAAAATTAATACAATTGATGACAATCGTCTATAGGTATGTACCTAGTAGCAGGTAGGATGTACCTAATCTGCCAATATCAATTTCCTATGCGAGTGTAACCAAAGAGGTACTTCGTACGTTACGTAGGTACATACCTACCTACCTACCTGGCGCCTTGGGATTTTTTTTTTTTTTTCAAAGTTAGAATAACATTAAAGACCCCGGGAAGAATGGCGCTGCGAGGCGCTAGGATCAAGTAAATCTTGTTAATCTTAGCGCACATGATCCCCCAAGATGGCAAGAGAGATGGCTGAGATAGATGTCAGAGGCAGAACCGTGCACGCTACCGACGCTAATAAACCTAGTAAAAAACGAGAAGTCGCGCGACTTGACCGCGTAATAAGCCGCCAATGGCCTCCCACTATTCCTTCCCCTCTTAGCCATTCGCTACTATTGCTTGAGTTGACTTGTTCATGTTCCTTTGGTCCAAGTTCCAACTTAAACGTCACGAAAACGACAATTTCGCAACCTCAAACTACGTGTATGTTACATACTTACATGTAGATATATCATTCATTGGGCTTCAAAATCAAACCATTCCTGTTCTATCATTCTATCATCGAGTCAGTTTAAGTCGCGTCACGTCTATCGGGCCAATTCTAGATTTAAATGGAATAAATTGCCTTAAAGAGAGAGGTACCAACCATACCTAAACCATTCCCACTCTTTAAGTGCTGTACCTCCACGCACATTTCCCACATTCAACACCATATTCGCCGCTTTCGCCTATCGACTATCCTATGTCTCAGATTCTCTCTGAATGCTAATTGCTTACTACTATTTCAACGCGACTAACTACACTATACCCTATATTCAAGTCTAATGCCTCTTGACTTCCCGTGATTCCGCGAGATATCGGGGGATCTGACGACGTAACGCGTACGCTTCGCTAAGCAACATCAGCGCTCACAAAGGAAAAAATCCTACATTTGCTAGACGCGGAATCCTACGGCTTTAACTAGCATCTCGTCTTTGAGACTGCCTATACTTCTAAGACATACCTCGAAAATCGCGATTCACATGACAAAAATACGCGATTGATCCTAATCCATCACCAAATTATAGACGAGTCCAATTTGACGCGACGGCCTCGTATTGGAGCTTCGGCATTTCCCTTCTACCCCCTTCACCTAACCACTACCCACCTTGACCATGTCACAGGTCACCAGCTCAAGCATCTCGACGGGGCCAGGTCACCCCCCAGGTCAGCCTCCGCAAACGCAGAGCCAACCCAGTAGCCAGAGCCAACCGCCGTTCAACTTCCCTGGCAACAATTCGCAAGACACTACTATCTCTAATACAACCGATCGTATCTTCACCCCACCCGAAAGCGACAGCGAAGGTAGCAATGGGATTCCAAATGGTCGTGGATCAAGTCAAGAGTCCCAATCTCAGCTTCAGCTCCTACAGCTATCCCAGCTTGCTGCAGCACAGCAGAAGATAAATGAAGTAGATGGAGCAGCATTGAATGGCCAGTCTAAGAAAAGAATGGCCGACGGCGTGGTCAAGCACACGAGAAACAGCTCAAGCGTGTCACCGGTCCGGATTGGTCATTCTAGAAATACCAGCGCTGTGAGCGTAGCATCTACCGCTGGTAGTCGCATTGGAGAGGTAAATTATTACTCAAGGCTCAGGACTCGTTTTAATTTATTTGCTAATTCGATCGTAGCTGTCTGCTGAACTGAGAACAAAGCTGTCTTACGCGATGGTCAAGGTTAACAATGGCTGGCAAGGGCATTCCATTGACGAGGTCGAGTCGCTCGCGTCGCAAGCTGCTTCTCCCACTTCTAGTACTTCGACGTTACATGGTAGACACGGCGCGTCTGCAAGCCCACGAATGGCTATTGGTCCCATACGACATAGGGCTTCAAGCAATGCTACCAGCCCTATATTTCATCATCCTTCCCAGGGCCGCACCTACGAATCCTTCTGGAGAGAAGGCAATATGAAGGGGGCCACTTCGACCTCACCCATCTCCCAGGTGCCAACATTGGCCCCTCCTGCCCCTATACAACCGCGTCAACCGGGTCAGGTTCACCCACGGCGTAGTTCCAACGCAAGATTTGCGCCGGCCTACCTATCGCATCATGCTTCCCCCCACACGCCAGCTCAGCCGAGCCCACTACAAACCACACCAGGTCAGGGGTCTATCAGAACGCCTAACGTAGACCCCATACTCTTTTCTCCGCACCAGAACGTACGAGAACAGGAAGCGTTGGAGACACTGATTTTTATGAGCAGTCCAGGAAACTCGGCTAATGTTAAGCATGCATTTCCTTCGTCTATTCACTCGTCACAATCGTCGCAACCAGTGCAGCCGTTGCAGCCACCCCATGGTCGTGGTAGCGGACGAACAGCTCTTCCAACTTCAAGATTAGGATCGGCGGTCGAGGCTAGCAACCAAGGGCGGAAGAGCTTGCCGACGGCGCGACCTCAATCGCACCATGCGCCTCAAGTCAAACGTGTGGGGTTCGAGAAATCTCCGGGGAATTACGGTGGGATGGATATTGACGACCCGCACGGATCTCCGTATAGCAGGGGTACGCCCCGTCGCCGAACGAACGGATCGGCTCCGAGGCCATCTCTCTCTATTCCTGCAGGCCTTGGCGGATCAGCTCGGCCAAGAACGGCGCTACGCGGCGACGACATAGAACGGATGCTCGATCGTGTAGCGGCAGACGATAGCTCGGATTCGGAAGGGGAGATCCACCTCCCCCCTAGCCGAAGAGCAAACGGCCCTCCTGTTGGAGTCTGATGTAACGTTTTCTTTCTAGGCACCATTACGGCCGTACGTGGTGACAAGAGTTTGACCTTTTTTCCGTCAGTTGTCTCGCGTATATATCATTTCCTAAGACCTACCGTCTTGGGACAGGTTTAATTCTTGTTGTTGAATTTCGCATTCACGATCATGATGCATTAAGCTACCGGGGCTTTCATGAGATCACATTGGGACTAAAGGAGCAATCGGCTGCATTTATGGGGAGATTCATGGGCATGATGACGGGGGGAAGGGGCCTGTTGGAATGTATATGTTCAAGCCGGGGGTGTTTTATTTAAGCGTACCTCTCTCAAGAGGTTTGTCATCGGAACAATCGAATGCATATGTCGAAACATTTTTCATATTCACTGCCATATAAACCACAATCTAGTCTAGCGATCACATGTTTTAGGGGTTGCAATATAGAAGTCGAGCTATATTCACTCTAAACAAAGTTTGTGTTGAAATTGACATTGGTGAGAATCTAGGATGATGCTTGTATGACGGACGTTGATACACCTGGGATGCAGCAACAAGCAAATGAAACCATGACATGAACATTAACAAATGTCCCCACATGTTCCTGCCGCCAGCTCGCCATTATGTACGTATCCAGATAAGTATATTTCCTCGCCTCATGTACCTAGTAGTTACAAAGGAAGAATCGGTAGTCGGCAGCTCCGAGGAACAGCTTCAGGGCAGCTCCAGGGGCAGACGTACCTCCTAGGTTAGGTACCTAAGTATCCATAGATGTATGTAGATCTCTCAAGAACGTGGCAGCTGCGTGCAATGGAATGTTGATTATCTAATTCAGTGTCCAATGAGGCGCAGTATACCCTCTAGATGCGTAGGCTATTCCCCGCACAAAGGCTCCGCCACGGCTTAAGGTCATTCTTTTTGTTAAGTCATTTTTTCCTTTTTTTTTGCCGGGCAGCCGAAAGACCACCATGACACTCGCGTTCGGAAGAGTCGCCAAGGCATTTTTTCTACTATGCAAGCCACCAAACGCTGCCACAACACCAATCAATTAACTCGTGCAGTTTGCATTCTTCTCGACCAATAGAGTTCCGTACTGGCTGTCCGATTTCGTTGGTTTCGCCGCATGTCTCCAGTTTACGTAGGTGCTCGTAGGGTGGGTAGGTATGTAGGTACTACTAGGTAGGTACGTACTACCTAGTTATACCTAGTAGTGCTGTAGTAATCAGCTGCGAGGCGAAATGAACTGCGCCTCCCCGCCCTCGACACTAGAACACTAGAACTGAGAGACCTGCGTAAGCGCTTTGGGGCTTGTGACTGGTTGACTCTTCCCTATGATGGACATTACATCCATGGATGTCATCGTATTTAAGCTTTAGGTAGCCTTCCCTTTATTAATTTAGGATATCTGTTCTTGTTATTTCTTTCTTCCTGTCTTCATTCTATCCAACCTCAAATCACCTATAGACTTCTCTTAGACAATTCAAGAGAACTTACAAGAGAACCTACAAAGACACCTAGTATTTGTATAGATCAGCTAGCTTGTCAGCTTGTGTATTTTTTTCGTCCTTGGCGACGATCTTCGTGTCTCATACAATTCAACCTTGAGTCAGCACTCGAGTCAGCTTCGCAACACCATAATGTCAGCCGCAGACTATTACGGTAACAATGGAGGTGGCTACGCGCCGCCCCAAAACCAATCCTCATCACCATATCCTTCGCAACCTCAATACGCCCAACAGCCAAACTACGCCGGCGGTGCGCCTTCGCAGTCACCCTACCCCTCCCAACCCACCTACGCTCAATCCCCACAATCGCAAAACTACCTCGCGCCTTACTCCCAGCAATCCCAGTACGCACGCCCCGGATCCGCCCACTCGGACGCCGGCTACCCGCCACCATCCTACGCGGCGAACGACGGGACTCCCCAAGCGCGCCCGCACTCCGCCGACCCCTATAGCACGGCCCAGACACCCTACGACAACAACCCGAACCGTGCTCCCGGCCAAGAAGGTGAAGATGGCGAACGCGGTCTCGGCGCGACGCTGATAGGTGGCGGCGCAGGCGGTTTCTTAGGACATAAGCTAGGAAAAGGGAAGTTGGGAACGATGCTTGGTAGCGCTGTGGGTGCCGTGGCGGCGAATATGATTGAGCATAAGTTCGAGCGGAAGAATTCGAATCAGAGCCACCAGAGTCATCAGAGCCATGGAAGCCATGGAAGCCATGGACACGGTCACGGACACCATTCACATCATGGGAGTCATGGCGGGTCACCTGCTCCTGGAGGGTATTATGGTGGTGGGTATCAGGGAGGTTCGCCGGGGGGGCATCATCACGGGCACCACCATGGGCATCATGGACATCACAGTCCTGGGTGGTGAAGGAGTGGGGAGGTGATGTAGAAGGGGGAAGTTATGAAAGCGGGGAGATATACCTGCTATATAAATTTTCCTTGCTATGGAGATAACTACATACCTAGAATTCCTGCAATGGCGCTCCGATTGATTCCGGTACTAGATTTCGGGGTTTCTCGAGCTTTCTATACGACTTAGGGAAAGAAAGAAGGAAAGAAAGATAGGGGATAATGATGATGTTATGATAGGCCTTAGGCGGGTTTGGTATCGGGAATCTGGTCTGGCTCGGTTTGGACCTGCTTGTTGTTATATATCTATAGGGAGAAATAGTTTGGATAAGGGCGGAGTATGTTTTGATAGATGGATATAATGACATTATTATTATAATATCCCCCCACCCTTGTTGGGTCTGCTGTGATATGGACTAGTATATAGCTTAAGTTTAGTACCTAAGGTGGCTCAAAGAAAAAAGGGGGAGGGGTAATAAAAAGGGGTAAGAGAAGAGGGGGTTCATGCGTGGGTCGATAATTCTAAGATCCTGCCATCCCGCCGTACCATTTTTACAGTGGAACCAACACACTAAATCCCCTGTAAAGTACAGGGCACTTAGGGCTACTAATTAGGCCATGAAGTATCTAGTTTCATACAGGATTACGCAGTTATGTTAATAAGTCACATCCCGGATCAAGCCACAGTCAAGTCACAGTCACATCCATTAGTGAAGAGATCATAAGTTGTGTGCGATATGAAAGAATGTCAATTCTGTATCATATCATCGCGTCGCATTTTATGCTTTGCGTAGTGTTTTAGTCTGTAGCATTAGAGAGTGCGGTGGATGTTCCGCCGTCTTTGCATCAGACTATTTCAGGGTTGTTGTGGACAGGAGTCGAGAATTTCATGTCGACTTGTCCCTAACCCCCTTCCCTTCGAATCTTTCACCGATTCTGGGAGTATATTCGCCTTCCAGCTATCCTTCGCTATCTCTTCGGAGAGATACGGTCCACGCGATGACTCGTGGATGTTTTTATGTAGTTGTGTCGTTTTTTTTTTAAAAAAAAAAACAACGTCCATTCCCCTATTATGCTTCAGGGTGTAGTTGTAATGTCGAGTTATTTAGAATAGCAGGCGACTAAATCGATCCTATGATCGCTTTGGGTGATATCATCCTTGGCTTTTGGTATAGTTGTCCTTGTAGGTACAAGCCCGGAGGTATGGTCATGGCCGAGCAGAGTGGTTGGTATTTTTCGGTTTAGTTGAGAGGGGAGGTAAGAATACCTCGTTCGCTAAGGTCGGATAGCTTCTCAGTGATAACTGATCTGCCATTGTTTTTTTTTTTTGGTTGGTGTGAAGCTTGCCTTGTGATGTTGACTAGCCGTGATAGTTGACTTGATGAAAGACGCTGGCCTTAAGTTGGTTGGTTGTTTTTCGTAGGCGGCAATGAAGTCGATATTTGTCACCGAAAATTTGATAGCTGCGGGGACCATGGAGATTCTCCCATGGACTATACTCGCTATTGCAGCCTTGACTCTATCGTAATATGCGCGTAAATACCCTCTTAAATGTGTGTCGTTGGTTTGTCAAGTTCGACGAGGTTTTCTTGAGACTTGAGGTCTTCTCCTTGAACCACTCTTCTAGTACCTCCATCTAGGATGATATTGTTGCGAAAGCCAAATAGGTGATTCTAATCGCGTTTCTTCGGAAATATCCTGTCGATGGGTGCAACTATCTCATTTGTAGTGCTTATCGTCTTTGAGGTTTTGTGCCTGTGGAAAGTTATTAGTAAATGGGAACTTTTAGTCATTCGTGGAGATTGTCTTACAGATACCCCTAAATCTTCCACCTATGCATTTACCCTTCGTTGAGTCGATAGGTAGATCATAATTACAGTAATTATGAGTCGGGTTTATGATGTGAATGTGCCTTTTAGAACTTTGTATGTAGGATTGAGCTTCAGATTTTTGGGTTTTTGTATTCTGTGATGCATTGGTTAGTTATACTGCTTTAGATCTCATCAAAGAGCTCTGATTACTTACCATAATTCAGATTCGAATCATCGGTGACTCGAACTTGTATAAAGTCGGTTGGTTTTTATACAATAATTGTCGTTTATTCGGACCCGCTTCAAGCAGAAAGGTGCCCCTGGCACGATGCTCAATTCGGCTGTCGTAGTAATATTTCGGATCCGATTTAGGCCTTCCCCCTTTTCCAAATGCCTTCTTCCCTCTTCCTATTCTCCGATCGCCTCCCTTGTCCCCTTTCTCAATTGCGTTGAGTTCAGTTTTTTTTTTTTCGTTTTTTTATTTTTAAATTTTTTTCGATTTATTTATTTTGTTGCTTTTTTTTTTTTTTTGCCTTTTTTTGCTTTTTTTCTTTTTTGCCTCTTTTTTTTCCCCAATAATATCCCACGATAGCTCATCCATATGGAGCTTTTCTTTGATAGCCCCCAATAACGAAAGAGAAGTTCACTTTAGCCTACCCCATTTAACTAAATGTTTCTTCGGGTAAGACAGACCTCTCCACCGCATAATCCGAAACCCCTGTGAATCGTTGGTGTCGATATGGTCGAACTCTTGCCACTCGAGCCGACGAACGGATCTCTCAAGAGAGAGGAGCAGAAAGACGATGAGAAATGAAGAATATATGGGTCGAATAGGGTGCATACTCAGACCTTGCCATCAGCCTGGATTTGTCTTCTAATATGGATTATCCTCAGCTCTTGCCATCGAGTTGGGACATCCTTTGTTAAGGTCAGAGCCCTGTTATTAGGCCGACAGATATAAAGAACCGCCAAGATATAATGGATTACCGGACTCTTGCCACTCGAGCCGGTTAATCAGATATATGAGGGGGGAGGGGGGGTGCGGAGAAGAGGTATGAATGTGAGGCAACGGTAGCTCGTGCTACTCAAGGCGAGCTGCTCTCCGGAACAAACTGGACTTTAACTAACTGGTTTGTGCTCGCGCACGACCAAATCCACAAAGGTCTGACCTCGCGGTCAGCCTGCGATATGTTCTAATAGCAACTCCCGAGAGTAGATAGCAACAAGGGCCATATACCCCAAGACGACGAGACACCATACAGATTACTTCTTTGAAGGTCCCCCTTTCTTCGGAGGCTTCGGAGTGAGGAAAATGTTCGGCTGTTTTCCCGCTTTTAATCTCCGTATGCGATTCTCGTTGGCAATTTCGCCCCGCCAACGGCCCCAGACCTCGTTGCGGATTCTTGCCTTGTTCCACTTAACCGCTCTGGGGATGACCTGCCTCCATCGTTGAAGGACTGTTTGGTGATGATGGTATATGTCGATGTTCTTCGAGATGGTCTTAAGGCGGGCGTCGTCTTCTTCGTCCCACTGGTGTTCCGAGGGGTTCTTGTGTTGATAGCCCTGATCGTCTATCCAAAGGAGCCGCTCATCCTGCTCCTTCTTGATGAAGGCGCGATCCGCCGCCAACTGCTCGCCACCGAAGCTGAACGTCTGTTTCGATCGTTCCGTCGTGTCTGGAACTGGCTCAACAGCTGGGTGGGAGACATGGATGGGCCTATTCTCAGCCTCCTTCTCCGCGCGGGTCTTGCAAGGTATTAAAAATGCCTTCGGAATGCAATCGAAAGCAGGCGCTTGGATTGTGCGGGTACCCGTTGGTGTAACCTGGTTGAAGGGTGTGTTACGGGTGGGACCCGTCGGCGTTGACATGTAGGGATGAGGCTGTACTGGCGTTGGCTCGACAGTGGATGCCCCTAGAGTTGGGTCAAGAAATGACACACCGGAGACCATAGCCACGTCCTCTCCGGTTGACATAGCCGATCTCCGCGTCGGGGTAGATGGTATGCCTGGTAGGTCCCCGTCCATCTCGAAGTCTCCAGTAGTGGGCGGCAGTGAGGAAATCTCCGAGGGGCGATCTGGCATATCTACCTCTGGCGATGTTGGCACTGTGGTCGCACTGGCATCACCCTCTAAACCATCCTCTATACCATGTGCTGGCACCTCCTGGCCCAAATTAAACGTGAAGCCTACTTCAGGTACCCCTCCAATCACCGTTGGTAGCTGTCTGAGGTTCATATCTGTACCAACGGTAAACGGATTTATTTCCTGACCATACCCATCCCACCCAAATAGGAGCGGCTGCTTCGCCATTGCCTCTGCCGAAGCTTTGATGTAATCATCGGGAAGTTCGCCCGACAACGCCTTGTCTAGCATATCACTCAAAGACCCCTCTTCGTATACCTCTTCATCCGAGTCGAAAGAGGGATTGGACCTAAAATCCATCCGGGCCTCTTCTTGGGGGATGAAGTCCGGTGTTAGCATCGTAGGGATGATCGGTGGTTGCTCCATGATGACATCTGGCATGGAGTCCTCTTCCATCACAACCTCTCCCATATCGACCTCTGAAATGGAGTCACCTAGCATTGGGTCATCTGGCATAGAATCCCCTAACACGGCGTCCCCCAGCATGGGGTCATCTGGCATGGCGTTCCCTAACATGGGGTCATCTAGCATAGAATCCCCTAACATGGGGTCATCTGGCATAGAATCCCCTAGCATGGCGTCCCCCAGCATGGGGTCATCTGGCATGGCGTCCCCCAGCATGGGGTCATCTGGCATGGAGTCCCCTAGCATGGGGTCATCTGGCATGGCGGCGTCCCCTAGCATGGGATCATCTGGCATGGCGGCGTCCCCTAGCATGGGATCATCTGGCACCGAAACTACCAAAGTGTTTTCCATCTCGATCTCAGGGGCCTCTAAGGTATTAGAGTTCCCCAGGGTCTCCCATATAGTAGGAAGATCCCGAAGCTGCTGTTCGAAGAGCTCACTGAGATGGGCTAACTCTAAATCCAAAGCCGCGGTTGCGTCATAGGTTCCGTTGAAGATACTTTCGGCCACATCATCCCCTATGCTCTGTTGAGGCATCGACTGACCCTGAGGCCCTGACCAGGCCATTGGACCCCCAGAATTTAAACCGTTGAAACTGAAGTCCATGTTGTAATCGGGGGTTTCGGTCAAGGCAGGGGGAGTAGCTAGCGAATTGTTCGCCTCTTGGTTGATGGTAGGCTGAGCAACTGTTGGCTGGACTACCTGCTCAAAGCTTGGTTGCTCAGTGGCGAATACTGTTGGCGAGATACCCGTAACCATGGCGCCAGCGGGTTCGATGTCCATCTGCTCGGAGGGCTCAGAAGGTTCAGTATCAATGATGGCTAGCTCGGTAATGACTGCATCGACAACATCGGGATCCACGACATCCAGCTCGGCACCGGCTGACTCGGGAATAGTTGAGGCAATCTGACTCTGACGTCCTGGCCAGGCCATTGGGCCCCCAGAGTTTAAATCGTTGAAACTGAATTCCACGTTGTAACTAGGAGTTCCGGCTAAGACAGGTGTCATTGGATTGCCAGAGCTTAAGTCGTTGAAATTGAATTCCATGTTATGACTAGGAGTTCCGGTCAAGACAGGTGCCATTGGATTGCCAGAGTTTAGATCGTTGAAATTGAATTCCACGTTATGACTGGGGGCTCCAGCCAAGACAGGTGTCATTGGACTGCCAGAGCTTAGGTCGTTGAAATTGAATTCCACGTTATAACTAGGGGCGTCGGTCAAAGCAGGAGGGGTAGCTAGTATAGTGGCGGGCGAAGCGATGTCGGTATCCTCCGGGACAACCATAACTATTGGAGTCTCTTCGGCGGCAGCGGTTTGTACTTGGCTGATAGGCTCTTCAGTGACAACAACCGTATTGTCAGTACTGGCGGCGACCAACTGCTCAGCAGGTGTTTCGGTGATGATATCAGTAGTAGTGAAGGTGCCTTCAATAATGGCCTCCGGAACGGGTTCTAGTTCTTGGGCCTCGTCTTCCAAAGTAATGGCGGTAGTAAGAGCTACAAGGTCTTGTTCCTCCGTAACGGGGCTCGGCCTCTCGTTGAAGGTCTCTTGGTAACCTTCTTCCACCTGGACAGTGGGCTGCTCTTCCACCTGAACAGTGGGCTGCTCTTCCATCTGTACGACGGGCTGCTCTTCCATCTGTACGATGGGCTGCTCTTCCATCTGTACGATGGGCTGCTCTTCCATCTGTACGATGGGCTGCTCTTCCATCTGTACGATAGACTTCTCATTCACATGGACAGTGGGCTCCTCTTCTACCTGTACGACGGGCTCCTCTGAGGGCATGACAGATTCCTTAGGAGGCTGTTGATAAGCCTCTTCGATAGATGTCTCCAAGGGCTTGGCAGGCTCCTTGGTAGACATTTCGGTACTATGTATGCGGAGGGGCTCCGAGGGTATGACTGGCCCTTGGAAAGCGCTCTCATCCGCCGGCTTTGCGAATAGTTCTACCATCGCACCCTTGAGATCTAGGACGGCCTTCTCCATGATCTTCTCCATGGTCTTTTCCATGGTCTTCTCCATAGTCCGTTCCATGATTCCCACCATTGTTCTCTCCATTGTCTTTTCAATGGTTCTCTCGAGAGTCTTCTCGAGCGTCTTCTCGATTGACTTTTCGACAAGCTCGCCAATCAACTTCTCAGAAGTTTTCTCGACTGGCTTGTCAGCTGGCTCATCGATAGGAACCTTGGGGCTGGGAAAGAGAGATCCTTCGTCGGTGGCGCGGTTTGCTGCAAGCTGAGCCCTTCTAGCCATTCCTCGCAGGTATGCGCGGGATTTGACCGGCTTGATGATAGGCTCATTGGAATCGGGAAGATCTGGTAACATCTCAGGCCCGAGACCCGATCCGAGAGCTAAACACAAAGGCCTGAATGGTTGCTTCGGGCGAGAAGCTACCTGAGGACGGTCTATCTGTGTTCCTGCGTTAGCCATCTCGGAGCTGACCATGGTGCCAGCATCGACGAGACGGTTTTCGGTCGGATCGATCTGAGCTGAAGCATCTACCATCTTCGGCTTTGGCTTCGGCTTCGGCTTGTCCGCACCACGACGTCTGCTCGGTAGGCGCTCATGGAGAGTGCAGATGATCAGCACAAGGTCGCTGTATCAAAACAAATTAGCAATCATTTTCTTTAGGGTAGGAGTGCTGAGATTACAAAAGAAAATCTTTCAAAACATAGTCATTGGAAAGGATAGCTTGATAGGGAATTTGAAGGTGACAGGGAGAATTGGACTGAAGAATGGGAATATATTAATGTGCGGTGTTTGAATATGTGGTAGGTTCACAGAGGAAATGATGGAGAGGTAATATATATAAAGTTGTTATTGGTGATTGGATGATGTTGATGATGAAGTGTGACATTTGATAATAATGTTAAGAGATGAAATAGGCATGTGATTTCAGAGGGATAGAGTAGTAGACACGAGAAGAGGACTTGATAGTACTTACCGTAAGGCGTGACCAAGTGCGAGGAAGATAGAGTCGGGTATGAAATTGGTGCCCAAGACCGTGAAAAAGGTAAGGGTGAACTCAATTTCGTCAAGGAATAGGATCGCGTGTAGTACTTTTACTACCGCGATGGTATTCGCCGCCGGTCGCTTCAATCCGCAGAAATAACGACAAGCGCCCATTAAGGCGATGCCATAGATCTGGCGGGCGATATACTTAGCGGGGAATGTGCTAATGGCGAGAGAAAAGGCCGCGTTGACTGCTAGCGAGGCCATGTTCTGGCCGAAGTTATGTCCGTCGTTTCCGGATTCGAGATACATGGCCATGATGATGCCTGCGATAGCACCATAGAAATTGGCGCTCACCGCGTCGATGGCGAGGAAGAAAGGAATGAGGATTGTAAATGCATACATCTTGCTTGACGGACAAGATGAGGATGGATGGGGAGACGGAGATGTGTAATTAGTACACGAAGAAAATTTATCCTTGAGCGGTGATATTGGCTCAGGATAATTGATGTTAATGCGCTTACACCGCGCCACAAGTAAACGAAAACCTGATAATATCGATAAACCTGGCAGATCCAGGCGAGGGGAGGAGAGAGAATAAAGGTGAGTAGGAGGTGGCGACGTGAGAGGATTAAAAATCGTGACGTCTATTAAGAGTAGTAAGGAGTTCGTGAAGAAGAGAGAGAAGAGAGAGGAGATGAGAAAGATCGGTAGGCTATGAGATTGTGAAAGTTTGAGTACTTAGATGTTTCGTTTAATCGAAAGCACCTAGCAGCTGAAACTGTCGAGATAGCGCATGGGGAAAAAGAAGAAAGAAGGATTGAAAAGTGAATAAGGGACCGATGTATAAGTAGGAAAGGGTTGTGACTGACCCTCGAACTAAATCAGCCGAATCACCAGTGTCCCGGGCGACGAGATCAGTCAAGATTCGCATGAGCCAACCAGAAATCAGTACTCCAAACTCTAAAATACCTACTGCCTAAGGTACCTACCTAATGTACTAGGTACAGTACAAAATTTTCCTTAATGGATTGAAGCTTTGTAGGCTTTATGTGGATACTTCTAGCATATTATCTATAATATTAGGTGTTAAAATAGGTAAGTACTGGCCAACGTATCCACCAACTAGAGTGAGGGCATCCTAAATATTATTTTCCAACTGTGTGAATACATATATGTATCCACTACATAGTGATTTACCTAGTACTTTTCTTTTCTTTACACCTAAGTAGGTACTGAATCATTTCTAACGAAATATACATCCATACTGTAAAGTCGAGACCGATAATTGACAGCCAATCATCACCACACAAACGAGTAAAAACTAACTTGACTATGTACACATGTACTATGATAGTTGACACGGTGATTCTAAATCAGTAAGAAGAATTATTAATACCCGTCTAGAAATTGAAGTATCTCCATGTCAATGAATAATTAGTACGATAATCCATCATGTGTCCACGTCTTTATTCAATAATAAGGATAAACTACATATTGATTGATATAGACAGATATTCCTCAATTCGAATTAAATCTTTTTCTACAATATATCATATCTAAAACTCATTTACCACCAATACTCGTGTAAAATCAACTCCCATCTCCTGCTATCTGGCGAAGAGAAATGCGATAATGGAATCTTATGGATGACTTGTAACAGAGAACATGTTCTGAATTTGATAATTTCTTGGATATAAAACATCACCGGTACCTAGTGAATCTCATTCTATTTCCCCTAATAACCGAAATGACAACATGGTAACCGAAACAAACTGACCATCAGTCACGAAGCTGACAAGTATAAGTATTGATGGTTTAATAGTACATGTGTCAACTTTCGATATTTCCTTTGAAATCGATGTTATGGAATATCTGGTCAAGTTACAGTATGAAGCAGCATACATTCATGCTGATTCAGGAGACGTGAAGTTAGAAGGGGGCCTTGGCACTTTTGTAATTGGTCAAAAGATAGGCCCACTTCCCGATTTTAGTGTCCGATAGATCTGGGGTACATATCTACATATATGCAGATCTATAATCTGGGGAAAGGCGCTATACCTCATTTATCTAATTCTTGTGCTTGGGCGATGTGATCTTTCATTTTTTTTGGGGGCGATTTTCTTCCCAAATAGGTAAGGTTGGCCGAAGTACGTACCTAATTCTTACCTAATCACACGTTGATTTACGTGTGGATAATTGAGGTACAAGCTCGGGTGTACACTGTGCCTTCAAGTTGGCGGGCAAGTACATACTGTACTACACAAGCCACAGTATTAGGTACATATGTAGAATCGTAACAACGCATTGACCACCGGATGAAAAATGCCCTGCACATGCGTACTGATGTTTTTACAGCTGTCAGACTCCACCTAGAGACAATTCAATCTCGCGTCGCATTGATACCTACATTAGGTATCTAGGTATCCAATCATCTGAAAATACCTACCCTCGCTTCCATTTACCTCGCAAATTTTCTGCCCACCGATTGTTGCTTCGACGCTTCTACAGACATTGGAATTATGTCATGGGTGTCGGCCGGCTGACGTAATGAAGGCGCGGGATGGTTACATAATCAATTAGAATCCATTCCAAGTTCTTGTTTCAGATCCAACTTTAGAACTTGGAAGAAACAGCATCAATTACTCTCCCTCAGATTCTCTGCTAAAAACACCAGACTTTCAACTATCTTCCACGCGGAACTGCGTCATTTCCGGTACCCCGGCGCGATTGGCACCGGAGTCAACAGCAACTTTCCCCATGTATCCCCGGATCTAAAAAAAAAAAAAAACTAAAAAACTCGACATCTCTAATTTAGAGTACCTGCTGCCTAGTATATATACTATACCTCAGTCGCTTTAGTACATACCAATGATTACCTACTAGGTAGGTACCTATCCATGTTATCCCCTATAACCACAACGCTGAACGGCGCTGAACGGCGCTGACACCACTATTCTCACGGCCTTTGAAGAGGACTCTAATTAATGAAATACGCACGGTTGTCCGACAACACCCAGGTCTTAAATGCTTCAGGTAATATATTTCGTTCAATCGTCACTATCTACAAATTGTCTATCTATAATACATATATATACATTCATAATTTATCTCCGTCCTTGTTCCAAGTCCTCTATTATTTGTATTTCCGGTGCGTTACTGGGATGGAAATAGTCGTCACCCTCGGATACAACGATCTCGGGACCTCTTTCTCTCTCCCGAGATTCGTCATTTTCTTGTGGCTTTTCTTCAAGTTTTTCTTCAGGGGTCGATTTCCTGGTCCTCTTGAATAGTCTACTGAAGATGGCACTAACCTTGTTATATAGGTTGGCCAGGTACTTATATACTATGACGACTGGAGTGCCAACCGTCTTGGCGATCGCGGCAAACCACGCGTCAGGGAACAGGCGAACAACGATAGCCCACGGGAGCGAAACCGCGGCTGCGATGACACAGATGGCCCATTGTGTGCCGTCTATGGCCGTGATCTCGAATGCGGTTCCCCCAACGAAAATGATAGCGATTTGAGCGCCGATCATGATACAGTTAATCAAAATGAAAAATTTGTTGCGATGTACACCCTCGAATATGTTGAATTTATTGTCGAGGCGGCGGTTGTTGAACTCGTTGAAGATCTGCATCCACACGAATGTGTTGAATACCATGGTCTTGAGCTCGGTCTGTTGCAATTCGTCGTCAGGGTCGTAGCCCAAGATCGAGGAACCTGCGAAGTATAAAACGAGTGTGACGGCGAGTTGGAAGATGGCTTGTCCGATGATCATCTTCCACATGTTTGTCGTAATGATAGGAGCGCTTTTCGGCTGGGGTAGACGGTCCAAAACTCGTTCGGTAGGGGGGTCAGTTGCGAGTGCTAGGGCTGCGAAGGTATCCATGATGAGGTTAACCCAGAGGAGTTGCACCGCGGTAAGTACGGAATGCGAATCAGGATCGGCCACGGCGGAAATGAAAGCAAGAAGCACGGCGGTAATATTGACAGTGATTTGAAACTAAGCGCAGGTTAGTACCAGATTGTCTTGAATTACGATTCATCATTCGAACTTACCTGAAGGAACTTCTGGACGGAATCGTTGACAGCTCGTCCCCATTTGAGAGCAGTCAGAATAGAAGTAAAGTTGTCGTCCATCAGTACGATCTCCGAAGCCTCCTTAGCGACCTCAGTTCCACAGATCCCCATCGAGAACCCGACATCAGCAGTCTTAAGAGCTGGTGCATCATTGGTACCATCTCCAGTAACAGCTACCGTTTCTCCAAGAGCCTTAAGTCTTGCAACCAGGACTCTTTTATCCTCAGGTGATGATCGTGCAAGTACCTGCAACTTCGGCAGTTTGGCATCCATTTCCTCCTCGCTAAGCCTCCTAAAGTCAGGGCCTTCCATAATAAGGCCATCCGTATAGATACCACATTCCGTGGCTATCGCTTGAGCAGTCACGGCGTTATCGCCAGTTACCATGCGGACGACAACGCCAGCCTTTTGTGCTCTGCGGACAGCCTCAGGAACTCCAGGTCGAACAGGGTCTTGGATGCCGACCAGACCAAGCCAAACAAGGTCCTTGAGCACCGACTCGAATTTCACGTGTCCATCTTCCACCTCGGCGTTAACAGGAGGCCACTGGATGAAATCCTGGTAGACAATTCCGATGGTCCTAAGCGAGCCCTTCGCGTAGGAATCAATGACGGATTTTAACCCATTGCGGTCGTCGATAGTCAGGGTACTGGTAGCAAGTGACTCGGCATCTGCCTTCTCGCTACAATAATTAAGGAGAATTTCAGATGCTCCCTTCACCAGGAGCCTATATCCAGATCCATCTCGCAACTTTATGACCGCGCCCATGCACTTCTTGGCTGAGTCGAAAGGCATCATCTGCACAACCTCTTCGTTTGCTCGAGCTTCAGCCAGGGATTGCATACCCAGATGATCCCTGGCTAATTGGAGAAGTGCTGTTTCGGTCTTGGAACCTATAAATGTGAATTGGCCGGACTCCTCGCCCTCGAATGCGGTGGAGTTGATTGCCACGGATTGTACAACGGCATCCTTGGTCTTCTGGGAAATATTGGATGCCCATTGAGAGATGGTTTGGGTATCAGACTTCTCGCTTTCGGATTTAGTGAACGTCGTCTGGCCAAAGGTCCCAGCCACGACTGTCATCTTATTCGTAGTCAAGGTTCCGGTCTTGTCGGAGCAAATGGCGGTGGCGTTACCCATAGTTTCACAGGCGCGAAGCACACGTACGAGATTGTTCTCCTTTAAAAGTCTGGTGGTGGCGAAGGCCAGCGCTAATGTAACCGCCAGGGGCAACCCCTCCGGCACAGCCACAACGATGATGGTTACAGCAACGATTAGAATGTCTAAGAAGGCGGAGGCCTTCTCCGAGCTCGTACGGGCGTCGGTTGATAGATTGGCTACGAAGCGAAATAGGAGGACGAAGAATAGAAGGCCGGCCGCAGCACCACCTAATTTAGCGATGGCAACTGCGAGTCTTTCGAGCTTTTTCTGTAGCGGAGTCGCCTCGATATCAGTTCGGACAGACATCATGATCTTTCCGAAGCTGGAATGCACGCCGACCGAAGTGCATAGGAATGTACCAACTCCTTCAAGCACTTTGGAGCCTGAAATGATGAAGGGATCTAGACCTTTCTGATTCGCCCCTGATTCGAGTGCTATCATGACCTGTTCGCCTGGTGTCTTCTTGATGGCGTCGGATTCACCAGTCGCTGAAGATTCATCACACTTCATATCATGGCCGCCGATGAAAATTCCGTCGACGGGAACCAGATCGCCGGGCTCGAGATGTAGGACATCTCCGACAAGGATATCGTGAACGTTAATCATATAAGATTTCCCAGACCGGATTACCTTGATCTCTCGGTCTTCCTTTTTAGCGTTGAGCCTTACGAAAGCTCTTTCTTTTTGCCAGTCGTTGAGGGATCCCACGAGGGTGACTATGAGAATGGCAATGATGATTGCGACACCCTCAACCCAGTCGACGGAGGGCGGGTCTCCTGGTTCAGGTACCGTTCCTACAGTTTCGTATATGCCCAATGCAAGCGATATTGCTGCCGCTACCGTCAATAAGATGATGACCTTGTCGTTAAAAGCGTTCCACATTAACTTCCATATCGGCGTCGCCTTCTTCGCCGGTAAAACGTTCCTCCCAAAAACTCGGATGCGGTCAAGAAAGGAGTCAGACTCGGGTTTCGACGTTCGCTCCGGTAACTCGAGGAACTTATTGGATGCCCTTCTAACAGCTTGCTCGAATGTGACAGATGTTCGCACCGAAGTCTCGTCCATACTTAGGCCGGAATTTATATCAGATTGCAAACCCCTTGTTATCCCGGAAAGTCCCCCCAAAGCCCAAAATGCAGGTAGGGATTTTGGATTTTGAAGCTTGCCGAGTTGACCAGGACTGAAAGCGAAGGGGTTATTCTCCACGTCGAAATCATTTTCTGTACCCGGATCTGGACGGAGAGCCGCATCGGGGTCCACCGAAATCACGCTTGATCCACAGTCGGATTGTGCTGGTGTCAGGAAGGGGTTATTGGAGTTAGCTGGCGTTAGAAAAGGGTTCGATATATTCGATATGTTAGAGACGAAAGACCCTGGTGTCATCACTCTAGTTTCGTTTGTATCGCTCCTCGGGCGTGTTCGTGTGTCGACCACCAACATAGGAGGCGCAAGACTATTACTCGCCATGTTTATATGATTGAACCACGGAAGTGTTTATATTGTATAAAAGGGTAGGTAAGTATTGTTAGGAGGTAGTAAGGTGAGGGAAATGAGGTAAAATATTGCTGAAGACTTTTTGTGTTAAGTAATTTGGCTTGACCATGACAGTTCTTGAGAGCCGGGTCACTCGGTGAAGATGTATCAATATAATATGTGAATAGCGATGGGCTATGGTGGTGTGAGGCCACTTTAGACAAGGCACATGCTGTCCTTCAAGGCTCATCAAATTTCCACTTTGTACCGAGGGCGACAAGAAGAGGCAGGGAAGTCGACACAGACTCCTATCGCCAAAGGTTTGCCTAGAACGACCACGGCTCTTGGATCGCGGCTGTGCAAAGAGGGGGGTCGCTGGAAGGCGATTTTGCCGAGCTGATAACTCAATGTTCCGGAGACTAGACGGTGGATCCGTCGTAATGCGTTCCACACTTGTCTTGTCACTTGTGTCGTGATGTGGTTGCTACCTATATTGATGGGAGGGATAAAGAGAAGCTATGATAATAAAGAAGAGCGCAGCTGTTTGACAAACTGTTGAGGGTTTCACATCACCTGGCTTAGGCGCAGTTTTCAAAACGTGTTCTATGGGAGTCTGAGAGATGACGAAGGCGGGCTGTGTAAGAATACCTTACGTGGTGGTGAGAGGCGAATGTTGGGTTGGAGGCCGCATTTGCTTCATAGATAAAGGCATCGCCATGTCATCGAACCCGAGCTGCGCGCCAGCAGACTTCTTAGAGAGAATGTAGTATAAGTTAGCACTCGATGATACTGGGTATGGTGAAAGCAAATCTCCGGTTTTTTGGTACCAACAAAACATAAGTGATTGGAATGAAGGATTAACCAGGTCTGGTAACTGCCCAGGTGGTAAAAGAAAGAGAAAAAAAATTCTGATGTTCCTCCCTGACGCTAAGAGGGGTGCCCAGTGAGGCTGTGTAGATACCAGTTTAGCCAATCAGAGAGCCGGCGATACGCAGAGTCCAAACGACCTCCTTTATTAGACAAGCTTAATAACTCTGGGCAATAATAGATTGCTGATGTCACTTAAAAATGGATCCATACTTTATATCCATACGTCCATAAATCCATGTCGAATCTATAAGATCAAATCGCGATTTGAGCGAAATTCGCTTTGCCCAATCACATGTTGATGTTATACCACCTAAAGCGCCTATAGGAAATATGCCGAAGTTGTAGACCGGTCTCCGAATATTATGTACCTTTTTTTTTCTTTTTTTCAGGGCAGTGAGAAATCCCAGGAAGCTACTTAGGTAGGTATGCAGAACCGGAGTTGATAATTCAATCCGGACACCGTCGGTGTCCAAGCTCCGCAGCACTCCGCTCAAGCTATTGACTAGCGACGTGGAAGGCCAAGTCAACTTACACGTCTATCCCAGCATGCCCAGCTCCGAATGATTTCAACGAAAAAAAGAAAAAATAAAATAAAACCCTATTTCTCGATTTAAGGCATACTACGCACTTGGCTGAAGCGGATCATCTAGTACGACTTTTGTTTAAAACTTTCTGTGCGTATAGACAGACAGTTCATCACGCGATCTCGCGTTTCGCCACGGCTATGCTACTTGTTCGATCAACATCTTGGCAGCATAGAATACAGTTAGGCCTCCAAAAACTGCCACTTATTTTGTAACAACAAAAATGTCATTAGAACAGGATTCGAGATAATTAATCCGTAAGGCTTCAAAGTTTCAAAGTTTCCAAGCCTAATTTGACCATATAAAACTCGGCTTTTTTGGAAATTTCTATGCCTTGCGCCTCCGCTATGGGATGAAAATGACCACGGGATTTGGACCGTAAACTAAGCTTAGCAATTAATTAACTCGCAATGGTAGTTCGATTCATCTTCTAAGCTTCCAGGAACCTCGGAATATATTAGCCATGGAACATGTACGTCGAGGGCTTTATGTTTAGAATCATAACGCATGAATTACCTACTCCAAGGCAGACTCGAGAGGCATACATCGTACCTACAGCTACGAGAGAAATCTGTGCACTCATAATCTAACGACCTAGGTAGGTAAGAAAAAGAATACGATAGAAAAAGGATGGCCGTGCCGTGAAGTGTGCGAGGTGATATTACTCAAGGATCCCGGCGTTAGCAGAGTCTCACAAGTAAATACCTACCTAGGTAGGTACCAAAATATCTTCATCGCCGATACGGCACCAAATATTTGAGAGCATTCCATGGCGGATTCCATGCTTATCTCACATTGGGGTGTCTAAGTTACCTTGGATCATGATCTCCACAACTTGGAATCAAGTTCGGAATAGACTAGTCGTTACACTACAGCACACAGCCTCAACCTATACTCCAATCAGTATTCCGCGCAGAGGATCATGACGGAGAAGAAAATTCCAAATTGCATATATGGCGAAATTTGTATCGATATCAAACAGCTCATGATGCAGGAATCCCAAGCTTGTGGTATCTTTACCTACCTAGGTACCTATACAACTTCATATTTTTCTACGAACTTGTATCTGAGGCAGATGGCATGGTATTACTATAATATAAGATACCTATCTTACTAGGTAATCGTAATATGATTATTCTGATTACCAGAAACTGGATTACACAACACAAATCTGCAGAAACCCGCAAACCCTTTGCTCACACCAATGATGGTCATATTTAAAGGGGTTTAGAAAAACGCCAGAGTGACATCGAACGTGGCTATGCTCTTCCCTACATGCAGGACACGACATATTGTTCCTGTTTCAACAGTTTTGTCAAGATTGATAATCTAGACATAGACGATTAGTTGAATAAAAATTCATATTTACTATTATGATCGAGATATACCTATCTAGGTTAGGTAGGTAGGTAGCATATGATTCCACTACGTCGACATATACACCGCGCTTGAAGTGTTCTTGCACGAATTTTAATGAAATTAAACATAATCTGTCAATATTACGATATCATGAGTACCTAATGTATTTACCTAGCTTCAGATCGACTACTTGATGTACTCTAGAGTTAGTAGTCGACTCTACCCAAGCACGTCACACTCACCGCTTCCTAACTTACCTAGGGATAAAAACAGATATGCAACCCAATTGTTAGTTTTTGGTATACCTAACCCTGATATCGTATCTAGAACAACTTGGCAAGAATAATCTTTTATTAGCTCGCAATAGGGACATACATGATGCAAATAACTTTCTTGGGGTTTGAATCCCCCCTTGTCTAGGAACTCGTCATATCACAACGAGTCTGCTAAGCCATATCAACTAGGTGCATCCACAGGCAAGCGGGTATGGTATGAGCAAACTATGGGACTTTAGAGATCTAGAGTGGTACTGAGTCCTATGAGAAGAGCTAAAGCCTATAATTTTTTCAGGCTAAATGAGTACAACTAGATGATAATCTCTTCAACTAGGGTCCAATCCAAATGAAATAACAAATGATGTAATACCATTGCGCCTTGAAATCCCGCGCCATTCTGATCTGCGATTAAAAAGATCTATGGTGACTAGGTATCGGTTTTTGCAGGCACACTTGGCTACTGGCACGTAGATTCGATCCTCTTCGCGTAAGGCAGATTTAGTAGAAAGGCAGAAAGTGAGTAATCATGCCGGTATTTTAATTTTGTAAGCTACTAAGATTCATCCGCGAAATATAGGAATACCTACCTAGGTAGGTAATGACAGAATTAAGAGACATGGTACTAAAATCCGATAATGGTCTCAATCTCTTTCGTGACTCGCGAGCCGAGGTATATGTTCATATAATCCATCAAATTCGCCGACTACGCATCGGCGGTGAAAATCGCAAGTAATGACCGCAAATCGCACACTTTACGGGAATTGGCTGTGGTGCTCCGCCACGATTGTCGTACTCTTTACGATCGCTAAAGCTCGGACTTCGTTTGCTGTTGATTTAGGAGCTATGATTCAGGATTCCAGTTCCAATTTGGGTGTCAAAGTCCTGTTTGCAGAAAATCATGGCTATACCTAACATTGGAACTTATCCCATTTTCTTTTCTATCCAGCTGAAGAGCAGGTACCTAGGTAAATAGGTAGGTAAGTAGAATAGCTTCAATAAGCACAGTGATGATCATGTAGATACATCATTTAGAGCTTCTAGTTATCTTGAGGTCTAAAGCAACAAACTTCATAGCTACATTCTAGAGGATTATACGTATCATTGTCAGTATTAAACAGAAAGAGAAATAAAAGGGGTAGGTTAGTGGGGACTTCAACGTGAATCGAACCAGCGCTGTTTAGAACAGCAAAAAGATAGTAAGTACCTAATTTCACGTCACAGTCAAAAATTTAACCACATAACATGCATGTGTCTAGATATAACCGGCGCATAATGGCTGATCACTTCTTTAGGTGGGTAAGAATGGAGAAACTAGATATTCAGATAGGTTGAGGCTAAATGTTACCTATACGAATTCTGCAGAGACCAAGAGCGACCACATAAAATGTGACCAAGGACTAGTCGCGAGATTCTTGTATCGAGAATGAACACGGCATGTAGGTACGTTAGAATAATACGTATGAACACCATGAAGAAAACCACAGCAGGGCTTATGATCATACTCTCGTGGCAGCAAGCATGCGGATCGCACACAAAATCCACACAAAATGGCCGAGAAAAGACGTATATGCCATGCGCGCAAGACGGATCCAAACAATTCCTAATCCGTAACTGGCGCAGCACAACCTACAGCAACAGCACCGAGGTCTTCGCCTTCACCCTCTCCGCCGACTTCAGCGGGTACGCGTCGTCCTGCCGCGGCGAGCGCAGTGGCGAAGCCAGTAGCGGATGGACGTCGTGTGATGAGCTTACCGACGAATCAAACACATACTTCGACTTCTCGTCCAACGACTACCTCACCGTAAACCACACCTTCGTATGTGATCGCGGCGCAGACGAGTCCGACCCGCGCAATCGATTTGCAAATGTGATCGCTACGGGTGATGGGAGATTGTTAGTCGGACTCGTGGACACGCCTGAGGGCCATTTCACAGGCACGGAGGGCGACAACATGACTATCGCGGCGTACCCGGAGGTAGCGCATCGATTACCAAAGGCAGACTGTGCGGCCGCGTCGAAAGATGCCGAATGGGAAGTTAGGAACTTCACATACAGCGCGCGACTATCGACAGGAAACCCGTGGATCCCACCTGCAGCTGTAGCTAGTATCAACTACGACTTGTATAACAAGGCGAACGACTTCCTGATAAATTGCCAGGCTATCAACGACTCCATCGTGACACCGCCGAATGACCCGGCTCTGATAGATCCAAACGTGCGGTGGCCTTGTCCGATTAGCTATCGCGACGACTTATTCCCGCGTGGGGCGTATCCATCGACGGTGTTCAAGTTTGATAGGAGTCATAACGAACTTACTATCGAGCAGGAGTGGGAGTGCGACGACGATGATGATGATGATGGTGATGATGGACGCGAGTAAGTATTTCAAGTAAATCGTCCCAGAAAGCATTATTCACAAGCTAATGGCGGTCGAACTAATCAAGAGTCACGTTCCCTGCGACTGGCAGCGCTATCTTGTCGCTTCAATGTCACGAGACCTTCACCTTGGACGACGACCCTATCCCCCGGGCGGTGGATTGTGACCCAGTAACCGTGAGCGTTAAGGCGAATATGGAGTCCTAATAAAACAAATGCAGTAGATGTGCCGAAGGATTAATCTCCACGCCGTCGTACGTTGCCCGATCCGAAAGCTGGACGACCGACATTCATTGACTAGCGTGCGGAAATAGGGGCAGGGGCTAAAGAAGGGAACCGTCAAAGTAGTCCAGCCTTAGAAAGTATGGTGCAGTTAGTGGCGTTTACGTAGTACACACACTGACTTTGCTGCTAAGCCCCCTGTAATTCAGTACTATTCAGGGCTGTCTTACTGCTAGTTTAACAACGGGTCAACAATGGCTCAATAACGGCGACTGATTCCTTACCTACTCAATGGAGTTTCATTTAGTACAAGTTATATTATATGCATTGCGTTGTGGATATAATTACTTACCTGCTTTGTTTCCAGCTGTTGTTAAACCGTTGTTGAACTGTTGTTGAAAAGAGAAGGGTTAAAATAGGTGGTACTACTCTGTACCTAGTATTTTAATTGGTCGAAATGACTCACTAGGTACTAGGTAGGTATAATTGCACACTAAGACCCCTTATAATCATGGCGCTGAAAGGTGCCAAGTCCTCTATTTTCATAGGGGATTGAGCAATAAAGATATCCATCCACCTGAGCTACTGTTTTCTAAGGTGGTTTTTTTTTTGGCGGGATGGCGGATTGGCGGTTTGAGGCATTTCGCGGACAACTTCGTACCCATATACCTGGCAAGATAAAACTCATCGCAAAAATAAAAAACCAAACCTAACTTTAGCTATGCTATTTCTATGAATCTGAGTATCCAGAACGCCAACATTGATGCTCCTGGTGCTATGCTATGCTTGTATCATCTCAAAGACATTACCAATTTAGGATCCACCGACAGCTAGATTTATGAACACGCCGCCGGGAATAGAACAGCATACAATAAACATGGGATGTCGTATACTCCGGCATAATGATCGTTTCCAGAACGGCGCTACTAGGAAGGATAGACATTTATCCTTAGCTTCTCATATACTTTCGTACCGGCGTAATCATGGTATTCTCGTCGTATCATGGGCGGTTTCCAAGACTTGTTTTCCATAGGTGGCGCTCGTGACGAAAGCGTACACCGAAACTTGGGTTGCGGAACTCCAATAACCTTACAATTCATTCGTCGTGCGCAATTCCCTCTACCTAGGAGAGATTATCGCTAGCGACCGCACAGGCTCCAGTCTCTTCAAAGTCTTCGACTTCCGTCATACGTAGAGCATCCTTGACATCATCCACAAAGCGGTGCCTCCCTCCGACGAGTTGTACGATACCGCTCCGCTCTAATAGATCCCATACTTTATTATCCCGGCTGACGGGCCGGCTGAAGAATACCCTGACGCCTCGATCGCGATAGTTCCGCACGATTTCTTCTAGTACCTGGGTACCAGAGCCGTCCATTGATGTCACGCCGTGGATGTCAAAAATGACGTTCTTGTTACTAGCCTGCGGGCGTAGGCGAGGTAATGCAGGATGCGCGTTACCTGTGCCGTACAGCTCCAGCCGGCGTAATCTATTCTTCAATTCGCCGGTATTTGCGAAGGTTAAAGGTTCGGGAATCTTTACAATCAAACAGCCTTCTACGAACTCGAGGTCCTCAGGATGTTCTTCAGCATTGGCGAAACGCTCGCTATTGGGAATCCTCCCTAGAATCTGTATGCGAGGGCGCGTCGCATGGCGAATAACTTGAAGAAGAGACAAACCTATGCCGATTGCGATGCCGAGATTGAGGGAGAAGAAAACTGTAACAGCTAAAATGACAGCCATAAGGGAAAGCTCGGTCCAACCCTTGATCCGAACGAAGAAGGATATATCATGAGGCGCCTCTTCAATCAGCGACCAGGCGACGGCCATGATCAGAGCTGATAAGATCGGTTTCTTCTCTATAGTTAGCTTTCGATATTAAATGAAGAGTGAAACGCTAAGGAGGTAAGAGGCTTTACGTACGGGAAGATAATAGAACCATGGTAAGAGGAACATGATGCATATGACGGTAATAATGCTAAGCATGATAGAGCTCATAGGGCTCTTCCCGCCGGTGCTCTTGTTCACCTTGCTTCGACCATAACCACCGAAGGCCGGGATTGCCATAAAGCAAGCACCGACGAGATTAGCTGCGCCAAGCGCCACCAGTTCTCTATTAGGACTTAATTGCATCCCTTCGATTATTTCCTCGCCGCCCAGACTCTTGGCCGCGACGGAAGATTCGAAGAAACCCAGCATTCCAATGAGAAAAGACGTACCCATAGCGTCCCGAATATGAGTCATATGCGACAGCTGGAAGGGGTTGCGAAACGTAAAAGTGTGACCAGACGCTGCTTCGACTTTGCCAAGTACAGGGACGCCACTTTTTTCCCAGTCTAGATTCCATGCTAGAACTGCAGAGAACACAACAACGATGAGCCGATCAGGGAAGTAAGCTACGCCTGGATATCGTGGTTGCAGCCGTCGTTTAATTTCACTGTGTATAAAAATGAGTTGCATTCCAAAAATATCGCGTATTTTGACACTCACCGAAACACCATAATAACTGCGAACCCGACAACACCAACGATAGCTGTTAGATGGTGTCGGTCGCCGAGATGCGTCAACACAAATTCCAGCTTCTCTACCGTACTGCCATGCGTAACACCCTCCGTAGTCTTAGCAGTTCGGTGGAGTCCTAAGACGGGAATCAATTGGTCGATGAAGATGACCACGCCGATAGCCGAGATGAAACCACGTAGAAAGGGTCGACTTAGGACGCTATCAAGAAATCCCAAACGAAATACGCCCATGAGGAAGACGGTAGCACCAGCTATACCAACACCCACACCAGCCACCTTCGCCTGCAAGACAGCATTATCGTCTTCGCCACGTCCGAGATCAATACTATTCTTTATAATAGACCCGATAAGCAAAGAACCAGCTGCTTCGGGCCCGACCACCATGAGCGGACAACTTCCTAATAATGCGTATACGAAAGGATTAATAGCGAAGGAATATAATCCGTTTATCGGAGGGACGTGGGCCAGATTGTCGGCGTACGATAAAGCCATAGGGAGGTACATAGAAGCAATGGTAACAGCAGCTGTAAAGTCACCTTTCAGCCACGACCACTTGTACTGCTTGATCCATATCAGGAACGGCACGTAGTATGATAAATACATCCCCCACGAGTCCTGGACGCCATGTTGTTGTGCTAGGGTGCTCGAGTCCGCCATCTTCTTGCTCTTTACCCTACTCGAAAACGTCTTCCTCCAATTGCCTTTAAGCTGCGTTTCACTAGACGGTACAGAGCCGGAGCCATCCGAATCCGCTACCGACCCTATCTCGGCATCGAAAATACCACCTCTCGACGATGGACTAGAAACGCGAGGAGAAAAAGTGCCGTGGTCGCAAGGGCCATCGTGTGCGTGATCGTTGTGGAGCAGGGAGGTGGTCTCGGTAGTTTCGTCGGCGGGAAGATCGTGTCGCGTACTTGGGCCGGCGAGGTGGCCTGGTGTATCGTCACTCATTGAGGAGGATGAGACGGTGCGACTTTGACGGAGGTTACTTGGTGTTAGTGGAGCGTGGTCGTGATAGGGCCGAGAGCCAGTTGTAATTGAAGGAGGTCGTGACGATGACATTTTGCAAACTGTTGCCGTTGGAACCAAATGAGACAAAAAAAGAAAGAAAAAAAAAGAAACCGGGGCAACCGGTTATTCCTTGAAACTTCTTGCCAGCCTTAGACGATGCGAAGGTGAGGAAAGCTTCGTTTCCATTCGTAAATAGACAGTCGACTTGCCTACAATTATCAGTAGATATCGATTAGTTTATTAAGTCATTCGGTTTATGGGAACCAAAAGACTGACAATAAACTATTTAAACGTGGACAGAAAAAAGGCTGGGCAATCTACATCATGCATGAGAGTTTGGAGATTCTAGACATGGAGAGAATGGACAATATGCAAGATGAGGCAGAGAGGGAGAAATGTCATTTATTTAATTGGCTGAGAGATAAAAAGAATGTCGCCAAGTACCAAGTACTACAACAGGGATCATTGAGCAGAGGGTGGGGAATGGTCCCATTACAATGGAACCTCTGTCAGATGGGCAGCAGCTGGCATCCACTTCGAAGTTCTTCATCACGATATTAGGTAATCTAGTTGTATTCAAGGTTTGTTTAACTTCAAATGTTAGGTTCCAGTCGGTAATTAGTAGGTACCTACGTATGTAGGTAGGTATGGGATACCTTTAGGTATTAGACAAATTTGAAAGCGCAATGGAAAGCGCATCCTATCATAAGAAAACGTTGAACCTTGTGCTTGGTAACAGAAGGTGCTAGTTACGTTGGTCAGCCTTGGAAGGTAGCACTTCCAAGCCCTGGTTACCTAATTGCAAGAAGACTTCGGCTTCGGTTCCATGGATGCCTGTGTAGCCCGTGTCCATGCTGCATCAACCCCGCTGAAACGTGCAGCAAATCCAGCAGGTATCTCGTGAATACTTAGGTACCTATCCATTAGTTGAAGATCTTTCCAACTTTGAAACCCCACCACCTGTTCCAGGCAAGCCACATGGAGCTGGAACTGGTCGAATCACAGGCACCACTTCACAAACGTTGTAGCTTCCAATAAGAGGTACTTACATTTACATACTGCCTAGCACGTACTAAGTTTAACATATAAAATCACAATAACAATATCTAATCTCGTCAAAAAAAGAAAGGAGAGGTAGGTAAAAGAAGAAAAAAAACATACGAAATTATCTCTACGAATAGGTTAGCTATCTAAGTCCACGGCCAATTGATGACTTCCGAGAACCCAGGTATTCGTCGTCCCCATCACTGATTAATCCCTTGCACTAAGCCCTCCATCGAATAATAAGCATGGTTGACAACATCGGGACCAATATAGACGCATCCGCCATGCATCTAATGGTAGTACAAATTGCCATGTCGTGTAATGTGCTGTCAACCGGAAAAGCAAAGCAAAGCAGATTTGATGAAGATGTACGTCAGCCGCTACAGCTCGAGGATGGACAAAGATATTATTGAGTAATGATGTCGGATATCCCTGTATGCAAATCTGAATAGATGTGTGTTGTATGTGAGAGGGTGTAGAATGAATAGGCCTCGTGCCTATCATGCCTCACTCTCATCCTCATCATCATCGTCACTATCTCTATCAGTCTCCATCTCCTTCTTGACATCGAACCCTAGTAATCCCGACATGATCTCTGCATCCTTCTCTGATTCGGTCTCCGACCAGGGCTTCGTCTTTGAGATCTTCTCGTCGTCATCTTCCTCGGCCTTAGGAAGGACCTTGCGGTTGCGGGGTGATTTAGAGGCCAGCTTGGTTTTCTTGCTAGAGCTGGGAGTCATCTGATCTCTTGCCGCACGCTTTCCACGAGGTGTGGCAGGAGTGCTTGTCTCGCCGGACTCACTAGCACCTAAGATCTTCTTCTTGACGGAACTGAAGCATACTCGAGCAGTGGCTGAGTTCTTGAATGAAGCGACCTTCGCAAGCTTCTCGAAGTCGATCTAAAATTTTCAATCAGCAGGCATCCAAACAAAAATGATCGGTTCAGTATATGAAGCTAATTATACGGTTATGAAAGATGGATAATAAGAAAGGAAGTAGCAGGTCAGAGTCATCCGAAGTTTAGAATAGATCGATGCTAGGTAACAATATTGTACTTACCTTCGGCTGTCCCTCAAAACACTGCCAAGCAAAGGAAAGTATCTCCATGTCACGCGAAGTCAACTGCACATCCTTCTGGACCTTGTTGGAGGGCTTTGGTGCCATTGTGATGATCAGTCGTTCTTGACTTATTGTAATCTTCGAGGTCTTGAAGTACCTAGGTATGATGCTGCAGAGCGTCTCTAGTTCACAAAGAGAAGATGGCTATGTCGGTACTGATGTGAACGATGTGAACACGCGGATAAGATGTTGTTTAAGAATAAAGGTACGATAAACTCAAGTCTTCAAATAATTATGATGGTGAAGGACTCAATCGGTTCTGGGCTAGTTTTGATAGGAACATAAAATGAATAAGAGACGGATGTGTTGCAAGTGCAAGTGATAAAAGTAGAAGAAAATAGGAAAGTCTTCAAAGATGTAGAAGATTGGACTTTCTATTTTAAGTACGTATTTAGAAAGATGGACAGAGTTAAACGGAAGGGAGGATACATGTTAAGAAAGTGCTATAGCCAGGTTACGGAGGGCAGTACCCGCTGCTTATTATGGGGTGGTGGTTGAATTCACACATATTCACATGAATTCACATCCTATAGTAACCCGTAAAACAACCAACCCCCCCTTCGTTTCCACCTTCCCAAGCAACCGCTTTCCACATGCAGGTACTTACCTACTTATTTATATACTTGTTACATGCACTAATACTGGCACTCTTGATTGCATAGGCACGTACCTAGTAGTTAGTATATTTATTTTATATGTTTTATATGGGTATTTATCTTAATGCACGTGAGACTCAATACGCAGGGCAATATGAGTAACTATGAGATCTCGAATAAATCGTAACTTATAAACTATTAGAAACCAAACCCGAGTCATGTAAGAATTGTTGATTATTGATTATGCGGTCTCATATTTTTTATATTCGGCTGCATGTTTAAAGAAATCCCGAAGCTTGTCTGCTGGGCCTGATCTAACTGAGCAAGAATATGAGAATGTAGCATCGCATCGCATCGCATCGCATATTTCTTCTATAAATCCATCACCTTGAACTAAATGTTTGAACTTGACTTTGATTCATGATGACTCGACGAGCTTAGTGATCGTTCGTAGGATTGTAAGCTAAGGATAGCAATTGGTACGTCAAAACAAGCTCGAAAAGTGCTATAGAAATAAAGCTTAGCCTTCTAAACTAGTAGAGGTTATTGTTTATCAAAGGACATATTAGGTAACTATGGCAATATATATGGTAGGAAGTAACACCATAGTCACAATATGTCTTCATTTAGTTTATTTCACTCATGTTATTTCTTAAAAGAATATGAATTTGGGACTTGCTTGATAATATCTTTGTCTTAGCTCAATGAAGGGAATATATAGCTAATGATGTGTTCGTTGCTATGATATGTCATTTAGCTGGTAATAATTATCGTGTCGGTGTGAAAAAGGCCCCGTATCGTTGAATAGATATTCAATTGAAATGAAGCGTCTCCTGTTGTTACTACTAGTCTTCCAATTATTACTAATTATTACTCTGTACTAGGTATGAGCATGCTGAGTTATCAGCTGAGATTTTTGTGATGAAATATTAAAAATAAATAAGATTGCCGTTTGTATTGCCTCTTGATGACAGATTACCAAAAAAAAAAAAAAAAAAAGAGAGAAGCCACATTCTTTTCAATGTTTCTACCAATCTTATGTCCGATATTCGGTGAAAGAAAATACCGAGTCTAAGGGATTTCTTAGTAATCACCTTTATATGCAATATTTGTATCGGAAATATTCATCAATACAGTATACCTACATAGAATAGTACTATAAGAGGCGTAGTGCAATACGAGTTAATCGGAGATAATATCGAGTTCGACCGAACAAAAGGAAAATGAGCCGATTCAACATGATCCATCATCCAGGCGCGAAATCGGATCAATTAGATGAATAAGCGTAGGAGGAAACACGAGGCATCGCGGCATTCTAGTTTTCCTTTATTGAAATTGACACAGTTATCAGATCGTCATGGATGAATTACATAACTTAAAGCTTGATCGTCGCCGTCGACGCCCTGCACTTTCATGTGTTAGCTGCAGGAGATCCAAGATTCGCTGTGACCGTAATCTACCCTGCGGCGCCTGTGTAAGGTCCAAGCATAAGACTTGTGTTTATGAACCCCAAGGCCTATCGCGGCATTCGGATATACTACCTGGCGCAGTCGGTCCATCTCAGCCGACCGATACACTGCCGGCTCTCAACTCCGAGACCACCGTCTCCCCCGTTGCGGGTGGATCGGCTCATGCGCATCGCAGCGATGGGTCACATCACGACCACTCCGCTCATTCTATGACTGGGTCAACGCCCGTCGATTCAACTTCTTCTCAGGGCAACGAATCATCTTTCGACGTTAGGGCATTGCTGGATAGAATTAGTGACCTTGAGCGCCGTTTAGAAGAGTCTATGGAATACCATTCAAGCCCGAAGAACTCCAAACCACACTCCGCCACTGTTCCCGAGACCGTAGCTACCTATCCTAGTTACCTTGCTGGGGAGTTACATACCATGAACAAAAGTGTCATGACAAAGACAAGGTACTTGGGTCAAAGTCACTGGATGAACCAGATTGGAGGCGTACGTTGCTCTCTTGGGGGGGGGGGGGCCCCGCCGGGGGGGGGGGGGGGGGGGTGGGGGGGGGGGGGGGCGGGGGA